CTTCTAGAAAAAAAGGGAATCATGACATGTCATGTGTCCTTAAGGGGTTATGGTTACATTAAATCAACGTTTCAGTCAACTTTCATCAAGAGCCTGAGTGCGCTCCTTTATGGTAGAGTGTGTGTAAATATAATAGGAGCGCACTGAAAAAATAAAATTAACATATGTTTTAAACACATTTTAATGTAAGCTCATTGAGCAGGGCCCTCCATCCCCTCTGTTTCCTGTACATTTGTTGTCTGGTTACAATTACATGTCTGTTAGGCCATCCATTGTACAGTGCTACGGAATCTGATGGCGCTAGATAAAAAATTAATAATATAAGCAATGTTTACATTAAATCAACATTTGTCCATGTGTGGACTTTCATCAGGAGCCTGAATGTGCTCCTTTGTGGTAGTATGCGCGCGCGCGCGCGCGTGTGTGTGTGTGTGTGTGTGTGTGTGTCTTTCCTTCCTTCCAAAATACAAGAGTATTGCAGTATGCAATGATTACTTTTATTTATTCAACTAACATAATCATTCAGAACAGAGGATGAGAGGGAAAACTCTCGAAAGCTTGTCTCTTAAGTATTATGTTAGTCCAATATATAGTATAATTGCATACTGTATTTTGGCATATTGTCGGTTGGCTTACCCAATACACATTTGTTTCCTGGTCCATCTTGTTTCCTGGACACACCTATCTCCATGCAGTCTGGTAGGTGCCTCACCGTATGTAGCATAATTAATGTAGAATGCAAGAGCTAAATCAATTAATGCTCCATATCAGTTTTACATACTACAGTGTTACTTTTCACGTGTTGTCCATCTTGATTAGTGGTCAGGGACACATGGGTAAATCTGGCACTCCTAATCAAAGGAATACACTTTTCTGTTTCCATTCATTTGTGGTTTTACAAACCCTATTGATTTTCTTAAAATATTATGTTATTGCTCAAATCTCTTCCAAGCCATGCAGACATTGGTTACAGATTTGCATTCTGTTTATTTTTCTTGCACTGTTTGCAAAAGGACCAGAAGTTACCTGGGGTTGCTTTATGGTCAATGAAAATAAATTCCCCTGAGCATGCTGCTTCTTTCGTAAGCAATTACATTTTTGTGTTCTACAATGGATTATTGAATTAATCATTTCGTTTGTGTTCGCTATTTCGTAGGGTGCAACATGTTTCTTTGTAAAGTGTTCTCTAGTACCTGGCTCCTCCGTTCTGTGTAGATGCTTTATTTTGTTTGAGTTGTTCGCAAAGTCTCCTGTTTTATGTTGGGCATCAGACGGACTTGTGAAATGCTTTGATTGTGGCGTGATTATATGTAGTGCTTCTTATTTCTTTAGTCACTAGATTATCCTTGGAATCAGAAATATTTGAGTATTCCTTAACCCCTTCAGGAAAGTCTTTTTTTTTTATTTTTTTTATTTTTTTAAATTTGTATTTCTGTCTGACATTTTAGCTGTGAATGTCAGAATACTGTTAGGTATTACTGCAAAAAAATGCCCATATTTGTAATCAGCGATGTCTCACGAGTACAACAGTACCCCCCATTAGCAGGTTTTATGGTGTTTTTGAAAGTTACAGGGTCAAATATAGAACGTTCCATTTTCAAATTGAAATTTGCCAGATTAGTAATGTTACCTTTGAGACGGTGTGGTAGCCCAGGAATGAGAATTATCCCCATAATGGCATTCCATTTGAAAAAGTAGACAAGCCAAGGTATTGAACGTGGGGTATGTTTAGTCTTTTTTTAGTAGCCACTGTCACAAACACTGGCCAAAGTTAGCGTTCATATTTGTTTTTTGTGTGAAAAAAGCAAAAAACTAATATTTGGCCCATTTGCAATACCTTGGGTTGTCTACTTTTGCAAATGGTATGTCATCACAGGGGTAATTCTTATTCCTGTGCTACCATACGCTCTCAAAGGCAACATAACCAATCTGGCAAATTTCAATGTCAAAAAATGAAATGCAAGCATTATATGTGACTCTCTAACTTTCCAAAACACAATAAAACCTGTACATGGGGGGGTATTGTTATTCTCGGTAGACTTCACAAATATTAGTGTTTGAAAAAAGTAAAACATATTACAACAATAATATAGTCCATAAAAGTGCTGTTTGTTTGTAAAAAATGCAAAAAACTTCACTTTTACTTAAAATATCATCGATGTAATACAATTTACCAGTTTGAAACACTAATATTTGAGTTCAGCGAAGGTCTTCCGAGTAAAACAGTACCCCCTATGTACAGGTTTTATGGTGTCTTGGAGAGTTACAGGGTCAAATATAGTGCTTGCGAATTAAATTCTCTGCACTTTCTCCCTGTGTTGTCAGGCATGTCAATCAAATTTTAATTACTAATGTAATTGTGTGTGTGCGCTATTGTATTCCAATGCTTTCCTATCGGGAAGCATTGGATTGGCTGAGATCGTCAAGAATGATCTCTACCATGGAGGTGGGGCTAGCCTCAGCGTCATTAGCACTGCGTGAGTAAAAACACCTTTCCCATGTGATTGAAGGGAAGACTCTGACACTCCGACATACATACAGACACACACTCACAAGTAATTATTTTATTTAAATCCACCCAACCTCCTTATTTCTGGAGAGCTGGAGTGGACAGGCTTTCCCTGGGGTCAAGTCATCTCCCTCTCACGCACAGTTTAGGGGGCCGGGGTGACGTCATAACTCGCCTCGCGAGGGAGCAGAGCCGCAGCCTTAAGTCATCCGTCCGCCTTCCCCTCCCCCCCTGCTCTCCATGAGCCGTTTGCCTCTCTCAACAATAAATGAGCCAGCCACCCCACTCCAACAGCTCTCCATGAACCTGCCGCCCCCCTCCCTCCCTCAGCAATACATGACCCAGCCGACCGCCTCCCTCAGTCAGCAGCCTGCCTTAGCCCTCCGTGATCCGACTGCCCGCCTCTGCTCTCAGTCAGCTGGTCATCTCTGGGGCTGAACAGGCTCACAAATCCCATGATGTCTAGAGTGTCCCTTTAAACAGGGCTCAACAAATCACAGGTCGCCATGGCGACCAGGATATTTGTCCTGGCGCCTGGGATTTGTCAAGCCCTGCTTGAAGGGACACTCTAGACATCATAATCACGTATGCTTAATTAAAAATGGTATGTCAGCACTGATGTGTATGAACTTGAAGGTACTGCTGGATGGGGAGGGGGCAGTTCCTGCTTATGTAAGAATGCTTGCTTAGAGTTCCAACTAGTTTTACTTTAACGGGACACTTCAGGCACCAGAACTACTTTATCTAAATTTCTTTGCAAGCCAGTCTAATGAATGGGGAGTTACTGGCTGAGACCTTTAGCTGACTGTTTTCAACCAATTGGTTGTGGCACTTTGTGCTTCATATAAGGGAAAATTGAGAAGCCAGATGCTGCCTGTGGGGAGTGGACATTGCTGCTGGAGGCAACTTAGGGGTTGAAATGTTAGAGAACGGTTTAACCCATTGAGGTAAGAGTACCTCCAAGGGCCTCTTGGCACCACGACAGTCATTTAGATGAAGCTATTTTGGTGCCTGGAGTGCCCCTTTAATAAAGCCGTTTTTGTGTATAGATTGTGCCTGTGAAGTTTCACTGCTTAACTGATATTTGGGAGTTTAATTTATGCAGCCCTAGCCATACCTCCCCTGATACTGACAGCCTGCATAAAGACAAAATTGTTTGTTTGTGACCAAGTGTCTACTAAAAAGACTGGACATACCCCATTTGCAATACCTTGGGTTGTCTACTATTGCAAATGGTATGCCATCATGGGGGTAATTCTCATTCCTGGACTACTATACAGTCTCAAAGGCAACGTAACTAATCTGGCGAATTTCAATGTGAAAAAAGTGTAACATGCTATATTTGACCCTGCAACTTCCCAAAACACCATAAAACCTGTACATAGGGGGTACTGTTTTACACGAGACATAATTGAATACAAATATGTGTATTTTATTGCAGTAAAAACAAACAGTATTTTGACATTCACAGTTAAAATGTCACGTAGAACTAAGAAAATGTAAAAAAAAAAAAAAACTTTCTCCCATTTTTTTTTTTTACATTTTATTCATATTAAATTATGTTCCATACCTAAATATTTGATGTTAAATGAAAGCCCTGTTTTCCCCTGAATAGAATGATATATAATTCACCTCTTTAATATTAAAGGCACATATATATAATATATATATATATATATATATATATATATATATATATATATATATATATATATATATATATATATATATATATATATAAATAAGGGTGCCTTTAATATTAAAGAGGTGAATTACGGTTGGACAGACATATAGCGCAAATGCCAGGTTTTGTTTTGATCACAACTTGTACATTTGGCTCAGTCCTTAAGGGGTTAAAACAGAAATACAAAATATATCATTTTTGGTTTGGTTTTATTTGCTGCAAAAGTATATCATTTTACTCTTTTGGTTAATGCTCTTGCCTCACCAGTAGGTAGCTGAAAATTGTCAGGTGGTTCTTATGTTATTCATGCACAGGAAAAGTTTCTGGAATGTGAAAATTTGTGAATGAAGCTTCCTTGTATATCTAATTAATGAAATGTTAGACTCGATGAGGATGTGTGCTTGATTATGAGATCCACTCATAGTGAGATTTGTCTGCCTCCACCTTAACGGATTGTATTTCAAATCCAAGATGTTTTCAATTGCTTGAATCACTGCCAATGTCAGACACTGTAATTAGAATAATGTCCAGGATAATATAAAAAATTGTCGTGAAATTGTTTGCAAGCAAATGTGTAAAATGCATTAATTTAAATACTTATTCGTAAAGCATCAATTGGGTTGTCTTACAAAAAGAACAATGTTTTATTTTACAACAAATGTCTTAAATGTGTGCTTATTGGATTATTCTATTTAACCTGCATTGCAGAGATATGAAAAAAATACATTATCCAAGCTATTTCTGATCATTTTGAAATTTTGTGCATGGAAATCTTTTTTTGTGAATTTACGTTTGGATCTGACAGCTATGCCTCGGCAAAGAAGCAAGCCTTCTAGTCCTTCCCTGCTCAACCGAACAAACGGCGATGATCCCAGCGATTTAGATAAAACAGTTTTTATTGGCAATTTGCCTACAATCTCCGTGGATCGCAAAGAGATGGAAGAAATGTTTTCCAAATATGGAAAAATTAGTGGTTAGTACAGTTTTATATACTACTACTACTACTACTAGATTTTGGATGGAAGGTCCTCATCAGCCTTTTATATTTATTTTGACATGGAAGTTTGCTTATGTTGTAAAGAAAGCCTTAAGCCACATGTCTGGGACAACAAGTTACCCACCTCTTCCTGTCTCATAAAACGACTTGTCTCGTTTGTGTAGTACAAATGTTACATGGATAATACTTAAAGTGTAATCTGCCACTGGCTTTGCAAAATGAAATGTAAAGCAAAGGACCTAACATGATCTGAAGTCTGCCATTTGAAATTAAAACAGCGTATTCCATTCGCTGAAATAAAAAATAAAATGTTACTGCAGCCAAATATCAGCTTAGCGCCCACACTTACACAGCTCTATCTCTTGCATTTAAAAAAATATATATTTTTAGAACACAGCTTATTTTCTTGTTCGTTTTTTGAACTGTTTTATTTCTAAACTTAGAGCACCAGAAAGGTGCGATCTCTGGCTGTAACTACTGTTACTTTTCTAGGCCTCCGCATGTTCCGTGGCTATGGGTTTGTGCAATATGAACGGGAAGAAGATGCAAAAGCAGCTGTGCAGGGGGAGAAGGGTCGCACGTATAAAGGGCATAGATTAGGTAAGGCAAAGCGTTAAATAGTTCTGAAAATTGTCAGCCTGATGTGTGGATCCCAATGCGTTTAGCAAAGACTTATCCTTGTGGAGTTCTAGTGGCTTTCCTGTCGGATTTTGTGCAATTTTATGCATTTTAATTGGGTATATTGGGAGATGACATTTTATCACACCATGTTCCTCTAGTGATGACACGGAAGGGTGAAAGCTCTGTTATGTAGCTATGTCAACATATAGGATCCCTGTGGTGATAGTCCATTTTGTAGTGCTTCTGGGAAATATGTGAATTTTCGTTTGGTATGTTTCCAATGCTGAGGCATGCAGTGCTCCTCTGCCTCAGATGAACAACATATACTGATTCGGAAATGGTGCAAACCCTGCTTCCTTTTCATTTTACATGAACTGTTTTGTATGAAGCAAACACAAGCTTAGTGTAAGTATAACGTCTGTGGACCATAAAGCTTAATAAACTGGTTGTGGGTGGAGTTTATCTTCAGTAGATTTCACCATAATAAAAACAGTTACACGACACTCAAAGCCAGCCTTTTCAACTACTGGCATCATACTGAGTCAATAAAACTTTCTTTCATTGGCACTGGGTGCTTCACTAGAATCAAGAGTAATTGAACCCAAAGTGGATACGGTTTGTTTTGTGTGTTCCTTTTGTGTCTATATTCAGATGCCTTCTCTTTTCCATCTCCCACTCATTTGATGTACATTTAAATACCTGGCATCTTTCTGTGCAAGAAGATTGGTCGTGTGTTCCCTACCCCCAGTATTCTTCGATTTTTGGGGGGGAAATGCCAATAGAGCCTTGACAATATTTCTGGCATTCCATGAGGTGGAATTTGTTCACAGTGTGGGCCAGCTCTCTTCCTCCATTATATGTGCCATTCATTATTCACCATTTGCTTAGGTGGGACAATTGACACTTCTTCCACTTTTGGTATGCATTATAAAGATATAGACACACACACCCTGCCCAATATTGTGTAGGTCCCCCTCGTGCTGCTAAAACAGTTCTGATGTTTCCAGACATGGACTCCACAAGACCTCTGAACATGTCCTGTAATATCGCATAGAAGGACATTAGCAGCAGATCCTTTAATGTGCTGCAAGGTGGGGCCTCCATGTATTGGATTTGTTGTCCCTGAACATCTCTCAAATGCTCAATCGTATTGAGATCTTGAATTTGGAGGCCAAGGCAACACCTTGAACTATTTGTCATGTTCCTCAAATCATTCCTGAACAATTTTTGCAGTGTAGCAGGGTGCATTATCCTGCTTAAAGAGGCTACTGCCATCTGGAAATACTATGCCATGAAGGGGTGTACATGGTCTGCCACAATCTCTAGGTAGGTGGTACGTGTTAAAGTAACATCCACTTGTATTCCAGGACCCAAGGCTTCCCAGCAAAACATCGCCCAGAGCATAACACTGCCTCCGCCGGCCTGCATTCTTCCTTTAGTGCATCCCACTGCCATATCTCCCCCCAAGTAAACAATGCACACCCACCCAGCTGTCATCCTGATCTAAATGAAAGCATGATTCATCAGATCAGGCAACCTTCTTACATTGCTACATGGTCCAGTTCTGACGTTCACATCTGAAGTGCTTTCGGTTGTTGCAGTGGTCACAATTGCCATTCTAACTGGTTGAAGACTATGCAGCAGACTACGATATCCTGTGTGTTCTGACACCTTTCAATCATTGCCAGCATTACGTTGATCAGCAATTTGAGCTACATTAGCTGTTCTGTGGGATCAGACGGACTAGCCTTTGCTCCCCATGTACATCAATGAGACGTTGGCACCCATGACCCTGATGTCGGTTCACTGGTTGTTCTTCCATTAACCATTTTTGTTAGGCACTAGCCATTGCATGCTGGGAGCACCCCATAAGTCTTGACATTCTGGCAATGCACTGACGCTTTCATTTAGCCATCACTATTTTGCCTTGTCAGATCTTTTCACTTGCCCATTTTTTCTGTTTCGGATACATTGAATTCAATAACACTGTTCACTCTCTGCGTAACAGATCTCACCCCATGACAAGTACCATTATGATAATAAATCAATGTTATCCCTTTAAGGACACAGCTTACTTTAATAAAAGGCCCGAATGGTGTAAAATTTAAGTCATGTGTTTTTAAGGCGTCATTCACTTCACCTGTCAGTAGTCTTCATGTTGTGGCTGAGCGATGTTTATATAGGTATTTAGACATTTGTAGATATCATGGTGTATATATGATTCTACAAAGCTACCAGTGAGTTATAGTGTGACTTTAAAAAGCAGTTGTCCACTTAGCAGTTTGCATGTCAGAGGAAGTAAAACAAACTAGGTTAGGAAATGTTATATTGACATTTTTGTCAGGGAGCAGTAGTGCTAATTGGATCCAAAAATATTTATTTCAATGAGAGGTGGTGATCAAAGTAACAAAACACAATCTAGAAATAGTGTGCTATGCCAGCCGAAGAAATAAATATGTGAAGGGTGAGATGTCTGAAGTGGAGACCCTGACTTAGGTTGGAAATATAAAAATGTCAAGAAAAGAATGCTCTGTGATCCAAAACGGCACGTTACATTCAAGACAAAATCTCCAGTTTCAGGTACTGAGGAATGCCATCACTGCTTATATCTTTATATAATGAACGTGCAGACAAAAGTAAATTTACACTTTACGTTAATTAGGTTTTAATTCTTGCAAACACGATTTCACAATGTTTAAAGTGGAAATTCCTAATTTATTGTTTACATACTTAAAGTGAAACTTAAAGGAGAACTATCTAAAGTGAAAATTAAAGGAGTCTTGAAGGTAAAAAGTGATTTTAAATACATTTTCTCACGCACAGTTATCACTGCGGCTGGCTCCGCCTTCGTGACTGAGATGATCAGTCTTGATGCTAATTCAATGCTTTACCATACGAAAGCATTGGGAGGCTATTGCACATGTGAATCAAAACATTGCACTGTTTCTCAGAGATCCATTGACTCAACATTTAAAATAGACTAGGCACAACAAGGGCACACAGTGCACATGAGGAAAACCAAAACATTGTTTCAATATCTCCTCTTCCACTATGTTCAATAGCAGAAATGGGTAATATTTATAATTGTCATCGACAGGGAGCCAAAATGGAGATGCAATGTTCCTGGAAAGGTGTTTGTGTTTCTCTGTTTTATTTTTCAAACTTTAAAAAAAAACATGTTTTTGTAAACATACAGGATAAGAAAACAGATTATTGAAAATACAGAAGTAACTGTTCCCCTTTAAGTGTCATCTAATTATTGTGATATTGGTGCTGAAACAATTTGAGAGAAACACATTTATTAAAATACTCTGTTCTAATACATGTTAAAACAATGGACCTGTACATCAGCAGAACAACTTAACAAAACGCTTGGATGAGGCAACGCTTTCTTGCATTACTTATGTAACTGCTTGTTTTACATCAGGTAAAATAAACTATCAATTTTGTTGAAAAAAATTTAATAAATGAAAATCTAAGGAATTTTCCACTTTTGCTGTTACTAGTGGATGGTTTTTTGTACATTTCAGCAATGTTGTCAAACGTTTAATTATACTAAATTATCTTAAAGGGACACTGTAAGCGCTAAAACAACTTTAGCTTAAAGGGACACTATAATCACCAGAACAAACTATGACTTAATGTAGTTGTTCTGGTGAGTATAAACAGTCCCTGCAGGCTTTTTACAGTATACACTGTCTTTTTTCAGAGAAAAGGGTAGTTTTTACAGCCTAGGGACACCTCCAGTGGCTACTCCTCAGATTGCTACTAGAGGTGCTTCCTGGGAAAGCATTGGATTGGCTGAAATCATCAATTCTAAAGATGTCGGTCAAGGAGGTGGATTGGGGATGCATGTTTTATGTTCCTGACCCTATAGTGTTCCTTGAAAGCTTTATATAAGCCTGTACATCGGGAGAAGTCAAAGTATGTAGGGCTCTACAAAATGAAGCTATTCTGTCACTTTATTTCAAACACACAAGGCGGCGGTTTGATTGAATTTCAATGTAAAGATCTTCTTGAAAACCGAACTGGTTTTGTAAGTCCAGATGGACTGCAGCGAGTTCAGAAATAAACATTGCTTCATTAAGCGAAAGTTGTTTTGGTACTCAAAGTATCTCTTTAATATTTGCAACAAGATGATGTAATATTTATAATTTGTTCTATTAGTTCACCTTGCAATAACTTCATTATCTATCTCCAGTTTAATAGGTTAATCAGTCATTTTGGAGAACAATTTAAATTCAAGGTGTATGTTTCATAATTTTTATTTGCAGAATAACAATGGAGTTAAGGTCATTTTCTTGACTTTGTATGTTTAACACTTTTGCTGTGTGTGTTATCTCTGCAGACACAAGTTGGATTAATGAAATAAATTTACCAAAAATGTAAATATTGCGTGAATATGCAGCGTCATTCTGCATAGCTAGTTCTGGTTTCCTGCGGAATAACTTTTGAACTATAATATCTTAAAAATAAATTTTTTATTTTTTTTTCTCCAAAAGCATTTTATTGAAAAAAACCTATTTTTAAATAACCGTTTTATAAAAAAAAAAAAAAAAAAATCTATCCGTCTCTGCTCTGTGGGGAAAACATGAAATAAGTGAATAGGTGGAGTTCAGTAGTTTTCTGATTACTTACATTAAAAAAAAAAAACTGTGAAACTCCATCCATCAGCGAAATTAAAATGTGCAAACTTAGCAGTGAAATGGAGAGTGTATGCACACTGTAAAATTTTACTATCGCTAAAATAAAATAAACCAGAGAGGGACTATGACCTTAATGAGCATTCTTTCTATTTTTGTTTATAGTAATGTGGTTTGTTTGTTTTTGTCCCCGTCCCCTCCCCTTACTATGGAACAAAACCTTTTGACTTGGGACAGTGAATTTTCAAGAGCAGGGTCATTCTTTCTAGTAAAGAAACTGTCTAGGTGCCATAACTTCATAGTGATAATGGTACCTTTGGGTTGCGGTTACAGTTCTTGGTCAAACCAGATTCGGGTACTAGACCAAAACATGGCCCAGAGCCACTTATGGCCCAGGCCTCCGCTTGATTCTTGCATGTGTCCGTGTTTGCACATGTCTATTGTAATGTAAAGGCATTCATTGGCTCAGTCTGTCAGGTAAACTCCTTAGTCAAAGAATGGCTTTGTAATCTAAATCTTGCAAAGTCTAGCAAGGGGTTAGACCTTGATTTCTTTGGGGCTGTCTCTGTTTTAGTCAAAAAGCTCAAACAGTTGGCTAAGAACTGTAGGTCAGCACCTGCATCCTTATTTTAGCATAACCACTGTATTGCATGCAGTGATTCGGTCTAGGCTAACTTTTATTTTATTTTTTCATGCTTCAGTCGCATTGTTCATATGTTTGCTGTATTTGCAGTATCAACACAATAAAATACTGCCAAACACACACACTGTGTGTTGGTTTGTTTTGTTATTTTTTTGGAGGTGGATTGGCAGATTCTTCTCCTCTTCCACCTGTACATTCTTCAGGCATTCGCATGGCGGGTGAAATGTCATGAAAAGGATCCATGTTTTTTTTTTTTTGTTTTGTTTAGTATGTATGTTAATGTGTAATAAAACTTTGTCTAATGTCTGTTATTATTCAAAGGTTGTTTTGTTTTTGTTGCACATAAAGAGCTTGAATTTAGTAGACTCTAACCATAAAAAAAAAAAAATTAAAACATTCTCACCATATGTGCCTTTTAGCTATTTTTATTTTGTTTGCGACATGCGTCACTTTACTATGGTAGTTACTTTGAGTTAAACTCTTCATCATTTGGAAGAAACGGTGTGCTTGGAAGATCTGGCCTGGAAGTTGGTTTGGTCCTTTGACTGGAAACGTTGGGAAAATATGTGCTGTTGTAATAAACATCCCTTTTATACCACTTTCCCTGGTTAGTGTTCTTATTTTGCTTGTTTTACTTAACTGCAATGTTCTTTGATGTCTCACTTATTTCAAATAATTGAACAGCTGGGTTAATTGTGCTTTTCAGATATTAACAAGGCAGCGGAAGGAAGAAATATGAATAAGGCTCCATCCAGGTCCAGTCCGTCAAGAAGGTAAAGTAATAGCCAGACATTGATGGCCCTGTGAAGGTAGGGCTTCCTGGAACACGTCTTCTCCAGAACTCATACCTTCAAAAGTTAACTAGTTAGTCTAGCTGGATTCCATTCTAAAGCCTAAAAAGTAAAGAATCTTGCTTGGATCATTTTAAATTCGCGGTGAGATACTGAAAATCGCGTCGTCATCGGATTAAATCTAAAATTTGCGTTTTACCGTTGCGTTTCTCTGCACACAACTCAACTAAAATGTAAAAAGACAAATAGCTTTAAACGGCGTCTTGGAATATTTACCTCTTGAAAGTTAAAAATTAGTGTGGGCTCACTTTAAGGAGTAATTTCAACCATTTCGATAGTGCCTGAGGTACCAATGCAGACTATACATCCCTAATCACCTGTTATTTCCATGTTTGGAAAAAAAAATCCTATCCAGGTGCGTGCACACTGTAAAATTTTCATGGATTAAAATTTTATTTCATTTTTACTTCCCCAAAACTAAAAATGCATTGCCCGTTTTCTTGAACTGGTGAAAAATGTGGGTGGGGAATAGAAAAATAGATCAATTTATAAAGTAATATTTAATTCCTGCGGGTTGGGTGTGTGTGGTTTTTATTATTTTTTTTAGTTTTAACATTTTGATATTTAAATGATACATCTTAACACACAAGCCAAATAATACACGGGTCAGTTTTGCAATCTTCCCAGAGTCTAACAGCCTCCTGTAAATTTTTTATTTTTTACCTCATTGCCTATGTTGGCTTTTTTTTTTTTTCAAAGAAGCAGCATTTTGTGAATTATTTTCCCAATAACAGGTTTGTTTTTGCAAATTAACGTCAACTGTTCTGTCTTGACTAGCTAAAAATTAAAAAAAAATCTATCAAACACAAAAACTATACATCGCGCATACGTTCGTAAATAAAATGTCTCCAAAATTGCATAAAGCAATCATGAGTTGGTGGGGAAAAAATAATTTAAATGTATTTTTAAACAAAAGCATTAAATGCTAGTCGGGAATCGGTGTGTACAGATGAACTACACGACAGTCTTATAATATAGTGGAGGTAACAAAAACAAAGCCTATAAGGAGCTTTTTGTTCCTTTCCGTTACCGCGTGTCTGATTCGCGTTCCATTTATGCTCCTTTTTGTATGATGTATGAAGAATTCCATTTGATCTTCTGTGCTTTTTAATGCTTTTAATATCCAAGCATTGTGAATTAATTTCTTTATAAGTTAAAGTACAAACCTGGTTAAGATTACATGGTCTGAAATCTGTTAAAAACTTGTATTTCGGCTTAAACTGTAGTAGGGAATGGGAAATGAAAATAGGAACTCCCTTTTGGTGTGTTGTACTTCTTTTAAAATAACATTTTCTTATTTATTTTTTGGTGCCTCAGAGACTTGTATACATATGGAGAATCCCGCGACACGAAACGTGAGCGCTCCCCTTTGCGTGGGAGCCCCAGAAGAGATGGCAGGGATGGTAGAGACTCGCGTGCCATTCGGGACACAAGGGAATCGCGAGATGGACGAGAGCCAAGAGATACCAGAGATGTGAGAGATTCTAGAGATATGAGAGATGCACGGGATTCTCGGGAACCCAGAGATATGAGAGACACTAGAGATGCACGTGACTCCAGAGATTCTAGAGAAATGCGTGAAGCAAGAGAATTACGGGATGCCAGGGCTGTCAGAGATTCTCGAGACATCAGGGATCCTTTGTATGACCGCTACAGAGATGCATTGTATAGGTATGTGGGGAATATTTCTGTCCTAGCTTCATCCCTTTATTCCTGACTTCTTCCCATTATTTCTGTTAATGTGTTCCATATATCTATTTATATGCCTCTCTTATATCTTTGCTTGTAATTTACCCACTACACTATCACTGAAAAGAAAACAAATGTTCTCTGTTTTGTTTTTCTGCATGTGCCAGTAATCTGTACAAATTAGGGACAATTACTAGCAGCCAGCCCTCAATTTGTGTAGTTTGTAGATCTGAAATTTGCTCAAAGAGGTGACCAACTACTTTGGAGTAGGGATCGACCGCCGATATTGTCGAAAATGCCGATTATATCGGTATCTGCCAATTCAGATACCGATATTGCCGATAATACCTCCTAGGACCGCCAGGCTCATTACAAGCCTGGGTGGAGCGGGCATCAAGCGCTTACTCACCTCCCAGTAGCTCCCCAGTGCAACTCTCGCGAGACCCGCGGCCGTCAGAGCGTTGCCATGGGTCACCATGGCAACGCTCCGCGAGACTTGCACTGGGGAGCTGGAGGAGTTGCTGGGAGGTGAGTAAGCGCTTGATGCGGTCGATCCCTACTTTGGAGACCGCAAACTTTTAATAGAGAATTTCAGGAACGCAAACATGTATTCCTGACTCTATATTGTGAAAAAAAAAAATCTATCTATATTGTTTCCCTAAATATAGAAAATCTTGCTTGTATTAAAGTCTGCAGCTGCTGCCTCTGCCCCTGATCTGCCTGTTTGGCTGACATCATCAGAGGTGAATCTCTAAACCAATCACAATGCTTTCCCACAGGACTGTCTGAGACTGTCAAGGAGGCAGATCAGGGTCAGAACCAGCACAAGCCCTGGCCAGTCAGCATCTCATCATAGAGATGCAATGAATCAATGCATCTCTATGAGGAAAGTTCAGGTTGTCCATGCAGAGGGTGGAGACATTAGCAGTGCTGCTCACTGTGCAGCACTGCCCCATGAAGCACCTCTAGCAGCCATCTGAAGTGCCAAGTGGAGTTATCCCTAAGCTGTAATGTAAACACTGCATTTTCTCTGAAAAGACAGTGTTTACTGCAAAAAGCCTCAAGGGAATGGTTCTACTCACCAGAACAAATACAATAACCTGTATTTGTTCTGGTGACTGTAGTGTTCCATTGATTGCCACAATATTATAGACCCTATTCTGAGAAGTAAGGTAGCTTTGTCAGTATGTGTGGGGTCATTACACTTTATAATACAATCATCTGGTGTATGTATGTATATATATATATATATATATATATATATATATATATATATATATATATATATATATATATATATATATATATATTAGTGAGGGGAATACCATTATTGTACTCCTAGTATAGACCCTATTGTAGCTGCTTGGATTCCTATAGTCTCCTCTCAAACTCTATTCTGTGGGTATCTATTAGATGGGAAAGGGTACATTATATTGGTAGCATCAAATGAAAATTTAGATCTCTAAGCATAAAACTGCATTCAAGAGTTACCGTAACAGTAGGTTTTCTACCTTTTTAAACAGTCTTGACAACTTACAGCTTTGGCCCACCACAGACCCGTGGTATCATACTCTGCTTGGGGGATTCTTCTGCAGGAGATTAGTTAGCTCTGCCAAGCCATTCTGAGCCTGCGCTTATTGATAGACAATTGATCCTGGTCCTGTAATGGCTGTGTTTTCCTTAATGTAACAATGCAGTTTCTTCTGGCTGTGTATATGGACTTAGGTTAGTTGGCAGTTGGTAAATAGTTCTCAATTTATACTGTGACACCAGGGCACACCTGGCACAATGCTGTAATGGTGGCTACAGTCCCCTGGTGCTGTCCTACTGTTAGGAGTTAAGCTACTTTTGAATTTGGGCCCTACTTCATAATTAGTGATATGTCTTTATTTTTGTTTAAATAGTATATATGTATTTAAAGGTGGACAGAATTTATTGACTTACGGTCAAAGTGTGACAAAACTGATATTACTATAGTTGTTTTGGAACTTCTGCTTTAGCAATATCTATGGCGAGGTGCTAGACTGCAGATACCAGGTGTGGGGAAGTGGGACCGTCTCTGGTGATTCCGGGCACCACCAATTTTGGGGTTATTACAGTATTGAATGTGTTTGTTTGGCTTTGCTTTCTATTTAAAAGGTGTTCTGTTTTCAGACGTGATGAGCCACTTGATAAATACCGTCAAGATGAACTTTATCGCAAGAAGGAAGATGCCTTTGATCGGTTCAGAGATCCTCTTGATAGATTTCCCAGAGAAGAAGGTTTGTACTTTGTGGCTGATCACGCACAAATGTAATATGTCTGACAGAGATGTACTTTAAAGGACAACTGTTACCTCAAAGCTATTTTCTAATCTATTAATCCTTTCATAATGTTTTGAAAGGAAAGTTTTGTTTTTGTTGTTTTTTTTTGTTTTTTTTACATTTAGTATAAGTCCAGATCGTTCAGTCATGTACACACACTTTGGGTCAGATAGTGCTTAAAAACCAACAGTCTCTAAAGTCCTCTATGCTTTACTCTCTGCAGAGTAGAACATAGAGATTAACTGTCTGACCCAAGGTGCACATATATGGCTGAAGGATTCTGTCGTATACTAATGGCTGGGGTGAGGGTTTATTTTTTATTTTTTATTTTTTTTTAGCAAATTCTAAATTAAACTGATTTTAAAACTTGATAAAATTATTATTCTATTAAAAAATAGTTTAGAGGTGATATCCTTTAAGAAATATGAGCAATAGTTTCCTGTTAGATTGGGTCACTTAGATTCGTCCCTAGGCCAGAGATGTCCACCTTCAGCTTTCCATCAAAGATTGAACCACAAATCCTAGAATTTTTGCAAACCACTTGATTAGAGCATTCCGCTATGGACACGGTGTTGCTTTTTATCTAGTGTTGTTTTTGTGGGTTCTTACTAGATCGTTTGAAACGTGAGGACCGTCGGCGCGAGGAATTATACAGGCAGTACTTTGATGAAATACAAAGGAGAGTTGACTCTGAACGACCTGTGGATTGCTCTGTAATTGTAGTTAACAAACAGTCGAAGTAAGTACATTTTGATTTTGGGAGGTTTTTAATTTTTTTTTTTTTTCGTTCAAACCTGTTGTCTATTGAGCATAGTGTACTTCATATGGACAAAGTAAGTAATGTTTTAATTTGCACCAATTTTCTACCAGGGAGTATGCAGAGTCTGTTGGGCGGAAAGTACGTGACCTGGGTATGATGGTAGACTTGATCTTTCTGAATACTGAAGTGTCTCTGACCCAGGCTTTGGAAGATGTTACGAGAGGTGGTTCTCCCTTTGCAATTGTGATAACTCAGCAGCATCAAGTGCATCGCTCTTGCACAGTTAACATCTTATTTGGCACACCTCAAGGTATGGACTGTTGTAACATAATTAAAAACACTTCCAACTTCTGTAGGAAAAAGATGTTAAAACCAGGGTGTTAGGCAGTTGACCGACATTGTCTCTTTGGGGTTCTGTGGAAAGAAATGCTTGCAGGAGCTGCAGACATGCTGTCTGGAGCCTTTGCAAGCCCTATCCTCTTCCCCTGCACAGACAGAGAAGTACCTTTGCAGGAACTGCTCATTGAGAAGTGTGAAACACAGGAGCGCTGTAGTCCAGCGCTCCTGACACTTCTGCTTGCGTTGTGGAGTTAACAGAAGCAAACCTCTCTGACAGCCAGGGAGGCATTCTGCCCCCAGTTAGGAAAACGCTTATTTCTGTTGAATTTGAGGTTTTGTTGGGTTTTTTTTTTGGTGGGGAAGCAGGGTGGTTTACATTTTCTCCATGCTCCAAACTGGAGGCAGCCATGTCATGTCCATGCAATAAAGTACTTTTTTTTTTTTTTTATAATTGTTTTGTTTATTTTACTATTTTGTGTAAAATGTAACAGTTGTTTTTTTTCCTAAACATTATCTTTGGAAAGATGCCTGCAGTATAAGGACTATGATAAAGTGCATTTGTTTGTGCGTTCCCTGCTATGCCAATGATGGTGGGGGTTTTTTTGTTTTTGTTTTTTAATACACTACATGGACAAATGTATTGGGACTCGCCTTAATTATTGAATTATTACAAGAATCCATAAAGCCTACATTTACAAAAATTCGTGGGGGGGAAGTGGGTTGTTCTAATGAGCTCAGTGAATTCAAGCATGGCACTGAGAGAGGAAGTCACCTATGTAATAAGTCAGTTTGTGACTGACTTATCCCTGCTAGATATTTCACTGTCAACTGTAAGTGGTGTTATTGGAAAGTGGAAGAGTTTAGGGACAGCAGCAACTTGGCACAAAATCTGTGCGGGAGCTTCGTGGAATGGGTTTCCATGGCCGAGCAGTTGCATGCAAGCCTCACATCACCACGTACATTGCCGATACTGTACTCTGAAACAGTGGAAACATGGAGTGACGAATCACGTGTCTGTCGGTCTTGCGAATGCTACTAGAGCGTTGCTTGCCTGGGTTGTGCCATCTGTAAAGTAAAGGTGGAGGAGCGATAATGGTATGGGGCTATTTTTCAGGGGTCCGGCTAGGCCCCTTACTACCAGTGAAGGTAAATCTTCATGCTTCAGAATACCAAGGCATTTTGGACTCTGTGCTTCTAACATTGCGTAAACCGTTTGAGGAAGGCCCTTTTCTATTCCAGCATGACTGTGCACAAAGCAAGGCCCAGAAAGACATGGTTGGATGAGTTTGGTTTGGAAGAACTCGACTGGCTGGCACAGAGCCCTCACCTCAACCTTATCAAACACCTTTGGGATGAACTGGAACGGAGGTTGCGAGCCAGGCTTTCTCGTCCAACATCAATGCCTGAACTCTCAATTGATCTACTGGATGATTGGGCAAAATTTGCCACAACACTCCAAAATATTGTGGGAAGCCTTCCCAGAAGAGTGGAAGGTGTTCTAGCAGCAAAGCGGGACCAACTACGTTTGTAATGGTCTGGTGTTCTTATACTTTTGTCTATATAGTGTATAGGAGATATCCTTTAATCTTGTTTTTTAGCTTGCTTTTCTTTGTAAGTTAAAAGCTTGAAAATTGCCCTCCTTTTCTTTGTAAGTAATTTGAAATATGAAGGGCAACTTACATTTTTATCAATGTTTTATATATTTAGCAACATTGGAATTCCTTTATTGTGCATTTTGTACATAATGACTTTTTACATCTGTCCCTGCTTTCGGCCATTGTTTAGCTCTCATCATGGATGTTACCTCTATTCAAATCCTTCTAATCTGTTACAGATGGTTCAATCAATTCTCCTGCTCTTAAGAATAACAAACCTATCCAGTGTGCGAATTTTTTTTTTTTGATTTTTTTTTTTTTCTGTCCTAATTCATGTGTAACACTGTTTACATTAGTTTTTGTGTAGTAAGATTGTTAAATTTAGCTATGATTGTTTTTTCTTTTAGAACATCGAAACATGCCACTGGCTGATGCCATGGTGCTTGTGGCTAGGAACCATGAACGGTTTAAATCTGAAGCTCGAGACAAAGAGAGGGAGGATATTGCACGTCAAGCAACAAAGATGTCTACAGATGCTCTTCTGAGAGAACGTGCGCCACCTATGGATGAAGGTTTGAGAGGAACTCATCCTCCAACCATACAGCCCTTGCTGGCACTGCTTGCAGATAATAGATATGTTACTCCAGAAGAGATGGACAAGGTCATCCTTTACCTGCGTGACCGCAAGGATAGATTGTTGTCTGCAGATCCATTGTCGTGTAAGTGAAAACTTAGTTTATTCACTAAACATTAAATTATTGGTAACTGAAAACAATGTAAAAATTCTCATACTTGGCTGTCATAAGTTTAACAGCTTGGTTTTCTTGAGTCTTTTGGTTTTTCTATACTTGCTTTTCCTTTTGTGTTTAAAACAAGCAGTAACATATGTCACCATTTTTACAGCCCAGCTCTCAAGGCCACAGATGGGATCATCTCAAGTGACTTCCATGGACAGTCAATCTGGTCTCACAAATAATCAAGTCCTGCAGATGAGTCAGCAGATGAGTCAGCCAATGAGTTCTGCTCCCCAAACACAACAGTCTTTAAGCAACCCTCAGCAGGAGCTTCAGGCAAAAATACTCAGTCTTTTCAACAGCGGCTCTCAAGCTAACATCAACCCAGTTGGCCCAGTAGGTGCTTCTGTAGCTGCTCCAAACCAGGGCTATGGGAATGTTGGCAATTCTCAACCGCGTCCTGGGCAAATGAATACATCACCTCTTGGCCAAATGCAGAGAAATCAGCCAGCCATGAACCAGCATCCTAATGTCATGGGTGTTGGGGTACCTATAAGGAATACCGTTCCTCGACCTGGCGGTCCTTTACCATCACAAGCTGTTTACGGGCAACTCCAGAACCGTGCCCAGGTACCTGTTAATATTCAGGGCCAAAGGCCAGCTGGTTCTGCAGGTATAAACTTTGATAACCCTAGTGTCCAAAAGGCATTGGATACACTGATCCAGAGTGGTCCTGCTCTGTCTCACCTAGTGAATCAGACCGCAGGCCAAGGAGGACGTGGTGGGCTTCCACCTCAGCCTTCAATGGGATCTTATCAGCGTCACTATTAGTGCAATGTGATAGATCTAACCACTGCATTGTCCACCTCAAGATCCATGTTTTGTTTTTGTTTTGTTTTTCCACAAAGCTTCTCCAGGATGTGCTTATAGAGAAATGGGACTTTTAGTTAGTAACTGAACGTTAATATTTTGACCAACTCTTGTGCAATGAAGCACATTTTTTTTTATTTTTTTAACCCTTTCCTTGGCTATGGAGAGCACTGCATGTGTGTAACTTTTTTGTGCAAAGGTTTACTAGTTTAAGCATTTTCTTGTACATTTAATTCTTACATCAAAATGTGTTCTGCAGCAAATTTTTAAATAAACCTTTAAATGCTATTTTGTGTCTTCTTTTTTTTTTCTTAAATATAGAATATAAACTGCTGACAAATTCGGGGTGGATCATGTGTTAAATATGCCTGCTGCTGGTCTCTCTGCTTTCAAGTGTAGCGGGGTGGTGTTAATTGCAACCAGTTAGAATCAGATCACGTGTAATTTCTAGGTGCTTGAGACTCTGCTCAAAATTATCTTTGTTCTTATTCTTCTGGTTTGCTGCCCTGCACAGGTGCTTTCATCTTTCTCAACCCTGACCATAACCCTAAAAATGTGCTTCAATGTACCGAAGTTGGAAGGCAACTCCTTTCTGAAGTAGAAAAAAATATAATTCAAGCATGTCTTTCATTCAAAGGCTTGTCAGTGAACTTGAAGTCCACTTAGCCACTACCACACAGGCTGGAAATGGAGATATTCACTAACCTGGAGCTGTCATCTTACCAATAAGTGGGGGTGGGTGGTAGAAGATCCTGTTTGATACCAATCGACTTCTAGTGTTGAGTTCCCACACTTTATTCTACCTAAGGTAGTGATTAGGTGCTAACTTTAACCAAATTTTATTTAATGAGGAAAATATAAAAACTACAGTTGTGTTGGTACTATCCTTTTGCAATAGAACCTGCTGGATGGCAACAACAGTGCTAGTAAAACCTTAAAACTAATTGTAATCAAATAATTATTGACCATGCCAAAAAAGCTGAAAAAAGTTTTGAGTAAGGAAAATATAGGATTAATTCTGGATTTTCTGACAGAGGGATACAGTGAGCAATCCGGTTCCTTCCATTCTTAAAATGGTAAGGCGGTTCATAAGAATAAGGTTTAGCAGCAGACTTTAGGTACATCAAAGCTACAGACCAGCACATGGCAAAAATAACTCTCCACTAACAAGCATGACGGCCTACTCATTTGAATGCCACTCAACAGCCATAGGACATCAGGTGACCTACAAAAAGAATGGCAAGTGGCAGCTGGGCTGAGCATGGCAAGGACCGTTGAACACAGGCTCCTGGGAGCTGGGCTGAAGTTGTGCAAAGCTAGGAAAAGGAGGGAAGAACAACCAGGCTGTTTTGCAAAAAACCATAAGAACTGTACCGCTGAGGACTGGAGTAATGTCATGATCACATTGAGTCCAATTGTCAGCTTTGTCCAACACTTGGTCATCTTAACGGTTACACAGAGATCCGGAAATGCCTAGAAGTTAGTGTCTCGCTCCCACTGTGAAATTTGGTAAAAGATTGGTGATGTGGGATGCTTCAGCAAAGCAGAATCCTGGAGAATTAATCTTTGTGAACGATGTGTGAATAAAGTCATGTACAAGATAATTAAAGAATACCCGCTTCCTTCTGCTCTGACAATGTTCCGCTAACTCTGAGGATTGTTTTCACTCCACAGTAATGTGAAAGACTAGTGGAGAGCATGCCAAGACACATGAAAGCTGTGATTGAAAATCAGGTTTATTCCATCAAATCTTGTTTTCTGAACTCCTCCCTATATTTATTGCTGGTATTAATAAAGCGCTAACAGATTCCGCAGTGCTGTACAATATACACAGACAAATACAAGAGGTAGAGAGAGCCCTGCCTGTAAGCTGATATCTAGCCATTGGAGCTCTTTTATACAAAGTGCTTAGCTAGATGGCCTGTAAACGTACAATCTAAAGGATATAATGGGGATTTGAGACAAGAGGTGTAGCAGGGCAAATTTGGCTAAAAGTTAACAGAGAAGCAGCTATTGGTAAAATATAAAGGGAATAAAGAGGTAATTGAATGAGCATCTCAAACAGCTGGAGGAGCATGCTATATATTTAGGGGGAACCTGGATGGGTCATTGGGAAGTGGTGAGAAAAAACAAATGCAGAGCTTCACTGAGTTTGTGTGAAGTGAGCCCTAAAGAACAGATGGAGATTGAACAGTTATAAGAAGGTATTTACAGCTAGGATCCGCATAGGTGAGAGGGGGTAGACTAGCCATTTGTTGACTACAATTGGAAAGTTTAGCAACCAAATTTTATCACCCAAAATATTAACTGTGTACGTGAAATATTGGTCAGAAACCTTAAATGACAATAATACAAACTGCATGCACAGAAAATTAGTCGCAAGCATCAGGTAACAATTCTATAGTAACACATGGATATGGTAGCAAGGCAAGCATGAATGAGGGAGTATCTTCCAAGATTCAGTCAGTACCTGAGAGTGGTAGGATTATCTGCAGGATGTTAAATGCAGTACTTCAATGAGTTTGAGTGAATACTAAAGCATTAATATTCTTTTAAAAAAATGAATATGGTTTGCGTTATTTGCTGTCTGAAAGCACTGCATATTTTTTTTTTCACTAAGTCACTTTCTGCATGTAAATGCTCAAAATTTCAATATTCGGATTTTGGAATTTAAGAGAAATGGCAGAATACTGAATAAGCTACAAATTTTCATTTTAATTACCTATAAGTAGTAAAACCAGAGAAATTGATTTTGCCCCCTTTTATGTGCTTGTCAATGACAAAAATAGCATAATGTATACCGATAATTCTGCAATGTATTGACATGCCATATCAGTTAAAGTGTACATAAGAATCAGCACATTTCATTATATTTAAAAAAAAAAAAAAAAGGCTGGGGGGGGCAATTTGAGTGGAACATTTGTTTAGCAGGCTTTGTGCACTGCAAGTAACTGCTATATTAGTGTGGCCACACAAAACAAGGTATAAAAAGATCCAGATATAGCAAAAAAAAATCAGACAAACATAGTACTCACAAATGCAGCAAAGCATCTCATTGCTGCTCAAACAGTGACAATCCACAGTACAGATCAAACAAATAGAGGCTGCGCAAAATGTTGCTATATGCACAAAGTGCTACCAAAATTTATTGGAGGACAGAATAATAAACAGATGTTTCGGGTACAACCCTTTTTCAATGCCCCATGTCCCTCAACCCCATATGATACTCACCCTTTAAATACAGAAAATATAATAAACACAAAAATAATGCTTAGAATAAGAAATAAAATACAAAAGGCATATTGAGGAATCAAAACAAAATTAAGGTGAAAAACATCATAGTATAACTATATATTTTAATCTGTATATATACTACTATGTTTGTTTTCACGTTAATTTTGTTTTGGATTCCTCCATATGCCTTTTTTATTCTTAGCATTATTTTGTGCTTCTTATTGCATTAGACTTTTTTTTTTATTTTGTTTGGGATTTTTGCTTGCCTATCTATGCATATTTTCATGTTATATTTGCTCTTATCTCTGGTGTATAGATCTCGATCACTGGCTGATTTCCTTTACAGCCAGGAGACCTGGCTACAGCATTTCCTGATATGTTTTGTTTACTGTTGCCTAGCAACATGGCATGCTGGGAAATCCGGCAAGATGGCGGCCGGACCCAGGAGGACTCCTACTCAGCACTGATTACAGAGGGGGGTGGCTGTGGATGTTTGTTTATTGTATTTTCTGTATTTAAAGGGTGAGTGTATCATACGGGGTTGAGGGACATGGTGCATTGAAACGTCTGTTTATTCTGTCCTCCAATAAATTTTGGTAGCACTTTGTGCACATAGCAACATTTTGCGCAGCCTCTATTTGTTTAAGTGCTATATTATTATTATGATATTTATATAGCGTCATCAAATTCCACTGTAGAGACTGACAGAAGGGTGAGGCATTTGCTGTCTGAAAGCACTGCATATTTTTTTTTATTTTGACTAAGTCACTTTCTGCATGTAAATGCTCAAAATTACAATATTTGTATTTTGGAATTTAAGAGAAATGGCAGTTTATTGAATAAGATACACATTTTCATTTTAATTACCTATAAGTTGTAAAACCAGAGAAATTGATTTGCGGGCGGACAGGAAGATAAGCCTTGCTGCCGCATTCATAGACTGCAACAGCGCAAGTTGGGATTACGTAAGACCACTGAGAAGCGGATTACAGTAGTCAAGGCGAGAAAGGACAGTGGAATGGGCAGATGCGCACAATGTTTTTGAGATGGAAATGACCGGATTTGGCGATAGATTGAACATGAGGCTTGCAGGAGAGGTTGGAGTCAGAGTCTGCGTGGTGGAGCTGATGATAGCACCGTTGACTTGGAGGGAGACTGACACAGGAGTAACAACACTTGAGGGAGGAAAGACCAGAATTTCAGTTTTGGTCAAGTTTAGTTTAAGGAAGTGGGCAGCCATCCAGTTAGAAATAGCACAGAGGCAGTCAGAGACACTAGTCAAGAGGGACGAGGAGAGATCAGGAAAGGACAGATAGATTTGTGTGTCATCTGCATAGAAATGATATTGGAAGCCAAAGGAGCTAATGAGTTTACCAAGGGAGGCAGTATAGATGGAGAACAGTAAGGGACCAAGGACTGAACCTTGGGGGACACCAACAGATAGGAGTTAGGGAGAAGCAGAGCCAGAGAAAGAAACACTGAAAGAGCACTGGGAGAGGTAGGAGGAGATATTGCGAAGGAAGAGAAGAAGCTGTTGATGATCAACAGTGTCAAAGCCGCAGACAAGTCAAGGAGAATTAGGATAGTAATGACCATGAGATTTTGCAGCGAGTAGATCATTGGATACTTTGGTCAGTGCCGTTTCCACAGAGTGCTTAGCGCGGAAACCAGACTGAAGCGGGTCTAGCAGAGAGTTGGACTCAAGGAAGTCTGTCAAGCTTGCATACACAATTCTTTCAAGGATCTTGGATTACAAAAGGCAATAGCGAGATAGGACGATAGTTGGATGGGAGTTAGGGTCAAGATTGGGCTTCTTTAGTATTGCGGTTACAGTTGCATGTTTGAAGGGCGATGGAAATATACCAGAGGAGAGAGAGAGATTGAGAATTTTAGTGAGAGGTGGAGATAGAGAACAAGACAGAGTACGGATGAGATGCAAGGGAATTGGATCTAGGGAGCAGGTGGTGGGGTGGGAGGACTGGAGCAGAGCAGAAACCTCTTCCAATGTAGTGGGTGCGAATGAACATAGAAAAGCAGAGGGAGTGAAGTTAGGGGAAGTATTGTAAGGGGAACAAGAAAGATGAGAGATCTCTTCTCTCTATAGAGTAAATAATAGCGAACTTAAGAATTTCAGACAGCTTAGCAACAAGTAAGAACTCACAGGTTCCCCCTCCCCTCAACAGGCTATATTTGAAAACATTACAAAATATATGAAAAGAAACAAGATAACTACAGGGGCGTGATGTCAAAGATAGGCAGACCATGGTTTAGTTGTGAAATCAGCTTGCAATGGCCGAATGTAGACCCACCACAGGAGGTCTGATAACCCACTCAAGTAGTGGTGTGTGATTGTTGTGTGGCAATCAGGCAAGTCTGTGTGATCAGCAGGAGGTCCCTTGGTGGTCCCAAAGCCCAGCATGGTGTGCGATACATCTCCACTTCATGTACTGCCAGCTTCACAATGCGTCTATCTGCTTCTACATGTCATTTGGGCCCCGGCGTGATACTGACTGCTCTCCCTTTGCCCAGTGACTGTCTGCGGACTCGTAGCAGTTGTCAGGTCCTTTGCTACAGCGGGTCGTTGGTGTCTCTTCAGCCTTGCCCAAATGACTCGAATAGACCATCTAAGCGGTGCACAGTATCATACCTCTGTAGTCATGTGGCACCCGCCATCTTGAGTACTTGTATTGCAGGTATGTTGTGCACCCTAAGAGTAACAAGGAAGCCTCCTGAAAGTAGACTGGGATCACCCACACCGGTCCAAAGGGGGGCAAGAGGGGGGAACAATCGGCTGCATCTCCACTTTCCAGGGCAGTTGGAGTCAGCGATAGGAGCATAATCTGCCAGGATAGCTATTCACAGTTTGTGTGCAGTAGCTCATACAATATGCGCCTGTCCGGCATGGAAGACCCGTGATAATTTTGCACTCTTAAGTTTATTCAGAACTGTTGTGTGTGTATATTTATTTAGTTTAACATAACTTCCTAGAGAACCCATATTTTATGTTTTCAATATTTGTTGAAATGGTTAGGTAATACAGAACAATACAAAGCGGTATAAAGGCCAGTCACTGTGTCGGTATTGTCAACCATGTTACAGATATCATTACATAGTAGGGTGTTTTTCGGTCATCACCCACAAAAACACCCCTCATAGTGTATACATCTGCAATTAATGGCCCTTTACGCCAGCCAAGGACCATTCCACTATATTAACTTGATTAGTACACTGTAAAACAACATAGATATTAAAGTACGTCAATATAATTATATCGGAAAGGGAGAGCTCATGTGAAATGGAATGAGGAGGGTAGGTTAGCTAGTACAGTGACAGTTAAAGTAAATAAAAATAAAAAAAGGTGCTAACAAGTGTCACTAAATTTTTAAATGACACAATACTGTTAAAAAAAAAAGAAAAGTGCTTCCATACATTAAATATTGTATAAGAATACGTTAAAATTGCTTCTCTTCTAATCATGGACACAATAACAAATTTAGGAGTCTTCTGGAGAAAAAAATTGGCATATAGTAAGGTATATCAACGTTCCAGATTTCGCATATGTTTGACGATATAGTAAACACACTATATGTTTAAGGCCGCAAGACCCGTATTTGTGGGAGGAGTTAGCATTCCTATATAAACGCTACTCCCCCCTTCCTACCTTGCCGTACGCACGCTGTTCACCTCGTCTCCGTGACAGCCGAACTTCCGGTCCACGTTCCCCGCGTCATCCATTCTCCCGCTCCTCCTTTCATGCAAACGAAACATACGAACACGAAGGTAATTGGCAAATAGTCGCGTTCGGGCTATTTGCCGTTCGACAATTACAAATCATATTGTACTTTTTTTCCCTCTTCTTGTTCACACGAACAAAGCACTCAAACTAATTAAACAGGCGAACGCAGTTACAATATGTTCTGCTTTAATCAATATATAATATGTATTGTGTTAGTTATCATATTCTTGCTAAGTTGCCCAGAGGTTTATTAAGAAATTTTTTAACTGTCTGTTTGTTTATTTAATCAATGCCTGCCATACATATATAATTATTATTATTGTTATTGCCATTTATATAGCGCCAACAGATTCCGTAGCGCTTTACAATATTATATATATATACATACAATTAGCTCTGTTGGTCAAGTATAAGGGTCAGTAATTCATATATATACAGCAATGCTTTGGATTTTTAAAATAATACCATAAGCTGAAGATTCAGTTATGCATACCATGAAACCCATTACATTTTCTATTTATTCAATGCAACTTCATTTGATTTGCTTCCAAGTTTCCTGCAATTGCTTTCTTTTACAGTTATCAATGCTTCCCAGCTGACAGCTCTATTGTCTATTTCCTTCGCCTAAGTTTGTGACATAATGCAATTACTATGTTGGCTGGAGAGCATTCCCTTTTAAATTTGCTTAACTTCACGTCCTGTTTTTCGGTTTGTTAAAGGTGTATCTACAATTGGTGCATCCCATATAATACTACTCAATGTCTGACACTGCACTGTATATTGATTGTTCAAATATATTATTTTTCGTTTCATCTTAGTGTTATTTTGCATAGGAACAATACTACCCATATCTCCTGGCACACAAGTTCTTTTCCTCCTTTTCTGCTACCTCAATTAGATTTCGCAAAGGCATTTACTACAACCCAGTCATTACTCCCATAGGTTTTGTGCTTTTCAGGTACTAATCTATCCTAATTCACATCTCTATTTACTGCCTGCAAGACCACGCATCATTATAGTGTTATGGGCAAATGCAAATATTACAAGTTTTAGAATGAAATGTTGTATTTCTTAAACTGTGTACTTTGTCTTTAAGAGATATTGCAAACTGACAAGGTGTTAGAAATGGAACATATTGTTTTTCATAACTGTTTCTTTAAGCAATAACCTCAGTGCATAATATGTTTGCGCCATTTTGTCCCAGACGAATTACAATAACAATAATGCATAAACAAGCTTCAAGGCTATACTACGACTCTTGCAGTACACAATATACTGTGGTAACCCCAAGTTAATGGAACTTCCCCAAATCCGGGAATCTCCCACGACTGTACACTTACGACTTAGTATAAACAACAGATAACCTATTCAGACTTTAAGATGCCATCTTGAACTAAGTCAGGAAAATTTCCATGACGTATGCACCCTTTAGTTATAGCCTTGTATGTTTGCCAAATTAAGGGAGGTCCTAAAATGAATAAAGTAAATGAACTACGGTAACCCTAAAATGGAGACACCTAAGGTATAAATAGGTGTACTTTTAAATGTTAAGAAACAGAGGAGAGACTTGGAGACAGAGGCTGCTCCATCTTAAAATGACAGAGAGGCTGACATGATGACATGTTCAGAAGGGTATGTTAACCTATTGCAAGCATGTAATTTAATCTTATAAATTCTGCTATAATGGATTTTATATTTATATTTTTATATAATAAATATCCAAAAAGACACTATTGCTTCCAAGACAATCCTTATTTTATATTGTATTCTCAATTATTTATATATGTTAAATAGAGGATCTCTTACTAACTATATAAAATTATGGCTAAGATATCTGTATGGTTAGCCCTACTAAGTTCTATGCTTTAAGACATTATAGTGGTAAATAAGGGAACCACATGCGGTTACAATAGGGGTTCTTAACATATAAGGGGCTTGATTTCTCGCCTTGCCTCGTCAGGCCACGGCTCCACACTACTACTCGTCATGCGGTACCAACATCTCACTATCTCGTTATAACCATCCTAGACTCCCTTAACTCCTTTTATTTCTTCACCATTGTCATCCATTAAATCCCACCACGCTTTAGCACCATATCCTCAAGGATAACCTGATAGGGGAATAATTACTATCATTAGTCTCTTCAGCACACTCAGGACCTATGATTATAATTCTATAGGCAATATCACGAAATGCACTAAATAGATTACCTACTATCGTCTACTAGTACAACCGACTGTGTTACCCTTCTACATGTCAGCATAATCTAATACTGTTTAGGGTTGTCTTTTCCTTTTTTAAACTGCACCTTGATTTCCGGTCCAAAACAGCATTCTATCACCAGTCAATTACTGGCTTGTTTTGTCTACAGGTTTCAATCAGGTACAAATACTTTTTGTTCATTTACTGCCTCACCAAGGCCACAAATTTACACGTTGGGGTATTGTGGTACGGGGGCTTGATTTCCTGCCTTGCCTCGACAGGCCACGGCTCTACTCGATAACTTGCTATACGTTTACTCAAACTCGCTATCTATGGACAGTCGTCCTGTTTCATACAAGCCTCACTCTTAACACCCTCCTCTCCCCCATGATACTATCATTCTTTTCTTGGCATGCCTTCCTGAAAATATTTATAGATGCTATCCTGAGTTTCTTCAGTACCCTCAGGGTCTATGGTTACTATGCTAATATCCACATCTCCAACAACTACACTGGGTTGCTCATACTTTTCTCTCTCTTCTATCCCACGTCCACATTTCCTCCTCTTCTTCTTATCTCTTTTTTTTTTTACCTCCCTGTAATATGAACCTCACGGTTCCTATCAACCTCGACTCGGTTTGCTGAATACGTTACGTTCCACCCTCATCAAGCCCCCATCTAGGGTTAGAGAACTGGCTGTTTAGGGTTAGGTTGCTGGCCTTAGTTGTACTACGGATCTGGTCCCACAAGGCCAACTCCCCAATATCGGGTTCATAGCTAGGGCCTCACCTGACATGGCCACAGGTATTTGGATCTTTACTGTCATAGAGGCCGCCACCACGCTAGTGGCACGAGCCCCACGCCCAAATCATAGGTAGAGCCTCTCACCAGCCGCTTGGCAACTAGCAGGGCCTCACCTGTCACGGGGTAGAGAGCTTTTCGCTTCGGCACTAGTTAGCCAGCCAGTTCTACGCTTATTAAACTGTTTTGTTATTAATCAATTCTTTGTTGTTGTGATGTTTGTTTTTTTTAGCACATCCCAAGAAGGTAATATGGGAGACGAACCATTCCTCCCTTGTATGACTACTGAACCGAACCCGGAGGATTCTGTATTGGGGATCGGATCACAAGGAGAAATTTCTGCCATAATAGGAAGTCTAAACACCATTCTGGCCAATCTTCAGTCATTCAACAATAGACTCTCCGTCTTAGAGAACACCAGCCCGGCTCATATAGGCCCTTCACACACGCTCATTCCCTCCACCTCACAGAGTTGCCCCCCCGCATCACCTTTCACACCCCCTCACGGTCTGGGTATTCACCCGCTTATTTGCAATGATTTTAACCTGGGCATATGTAAGTCTGCCAACTGTGGGTTACTTCACATATGTGCTATATATGCCTCGGGACTCATGTCAAGACCATCTGCCCATACATGTTGTATCGAAGATCATGAGATTTTTAACTTAACCTTGTCAGGAGTCACGTCCTTCCAGCACTTGATGGTATATTCATTACACGGGTTCTATACCAGGTGGGGGTCACTCACACTGTGCAACCTAAATGTCCTCAGCTAATCACGTATTATTTAATGTGCGCCACCGGATATACTAATAAACATCGCCTCAGCATTATTCTGTCTGCTCCGCTTTCAGTCGCATCCTCTGCCTTAAATATAATCACCCAATTCTCTCGATACTATATCACTAGGGATTGTAGCAATTATGGGCAGGCGTAACTACTTGGCCTAGCAGCTAGCAGGACGGAAATCTCCAACTCCTCCACGTGACCATTCATCCCTACAAACTATTGGTTGGGGACTGCAGGTTATGTGGCACTCAGTCTATGGCAATACCAGCCTTAGTCAAGCTTACCAATAGCGGTAGCCGCATTTACATACAGAGCCCTAGTCAAGCAGGCTAGTTGAAGGTTAGGCCGACTGCATGGCGGTCTGCAACATATTCAGTATAATCATTCACCTTCTTAACCATTGGGTAGATGGTTCACATACTGACGGAAACAGGGTTAGAAGGTCCTTCGGCATGGCAGTCCGGGTCAGGTAGAGGGAGTCAATAGAGCTCGGAATTGGGTTTGTGAGTTCATCCGCCTGATTCCGACCAACTCCCAATTTGTACAGTTAAACCACTATCCTGGGTGGAAGCATCCACATAACTATTAGGGATTCCTGGTCAAGAGTCAATTGGCCTAGTACCTCACCCAACTTACAACACCCGATTCCTTGTCATCACGGTTACTTTCCGCATTTCATAATCTGCATTTTAACGTCCTCATTCGGTCACCCGGCTATTGGGACTCGACAACAAGTGGTCACCTATAGCGTTTTCAATTGCACTAAGAATACGTACAACAGAACGTGACATTCTAACAAGACTCAGTGGAACACAACATTCACAGGCACACCGTACAATTGTAGTCTATTCTGCTTTTTGCCACCTTTTATTCAAACCTTCATACAACACGGTCGCACTATACCGAACTGACATACAATAACACATTCTGACAAGCCTTTCAAACCATACCCCGTCTTATCATAAGATATCAAAAGATAAATAATTGGATTATCACTCTACAATAACGTACATCTACAGATGGGAATTCCGGGCAGTATCAGACTCCGTAAACAGCATTCGCACCACACAACCAGGTTTTAAATCTATGTGCCTGCAACCGTACAAGGGTTCGGGAACCCTACAAATCCACGATCACAACTAATCAGACTGGAAAATCATGTCTCCTCAAGGAAGATTTAAGAAGGTACAGACACTACCTCATGTCACGCCAACATTCAAACCAGACAATCAAGACATTTGACCTACTAATCATTCCCTAACTACTTCTAAATACGGTTCTACATTCATACTACTGGCATTAGAGTAAGTTGGGACCACTAGCTCCTATTTAGCACATCCTTTCAATAAGCACGGCATCCAGTAGCAGTACGCCGGTACACATAATTTTGCCCTCTTTTACAGGCCTACCCCCTACGTCGGTTCCGGCACACCACGCCAACTTAATTCCAATAACAAGGTATTTCACAATACGATATTAACCGACCACAAGTTTAAGGCCGTAAGGCCTGTATTTGTGGGAGGAGTTAGCGTTCCTATATAAACGCTACTCCCCCCTTCCTACCTTGCCGTACGCACGCTGTTCACCCCACCCACCTCTCTTATACAATTCATTCGGGGAGGCCCTCTTTTACAGGCCTATCCCCTACATCGGTTACGGCACACCACGCCGACTTAATTCCAATCACAAGGTATTTCACATTACGATATTAACCGACCACAAATATATATATATATGGAACCAGTTGTAGCCTAAAATAAAATAGAGCTTAATATAGAGTAATATAATCAATTCAATCATACAGAACCAGATATAGTTGCACTCAGAAGATTTTAGATTTTTCAGCACATAAAGGGTGCCTCTCCCTAAATCTGGGGGACCAATATCCCTTCCGAATACACCTTTCCACTTCCTGCTATATGGTGTAGTAAGAACCAGGAACTCCAGCAGGGTGAATGTAGAAAAAAATTAGTTTTTTTTAAATATTAAAAACAAATTGAAGTCTATTTGTTTTGTCCCATTTGGGACTTCTTCAGGGAACAATCTTAAAAAGTATATGCAATACAAATGGTTATATCCCACCCCACCGAGTCACACTCTAAAATTGATGCCTCTCTGACCCCATTGGTCCTCCTGGGTGTGGGTGCTGCTCCTCCCACTTCATCCTGAATGGATGAACTCCTTCACAGCTGAATCCAACCAAAGGAGTTCCTTTGGAACATGCACGCCAACTCCCACATGATTCAGAGTCTTCCGCACTTCTGGCATTATGTTTGTGGTACTCTACAGAAATGTTCCAAACTGTGAAATCTGATGACTTGAGGGTACTATTTTTTTCCGTCTATTTCTTCAAATTTTTAGTTCCGGAACATTTCTATAATGGAACACCAGAACATGGAATGCTCCTATACCAAAAGTCCTATACCAAAAGTGCGGTAGACTCAGTCATATAGGAGTCAGCTCCTATATAGACTCATACTCTAGAAGAACTCCTTTGATCTGATACCGCTGTAAGGGTATCTATCCATTCAGGATGAAGTGGGAGGACCCATGGGACTCTGCAGGGCGGGATATGGCTATTTGTATTGTGTATATACTTTTTATTATTGGTTCTTGAAGAATGGGAGAAAACGCGTAGGACCTCAATTTGTTTTTAAAGGAACACTATAGGGTGCCATGTTCACTGTTTAGTAAGATTTAGGTGATATTTGCAGTTGTGTCTATCTCACTAAAAGTCACTATAGTTTATTTTTTGCTCTGTTATATTTCTTTAGTAATTTGTAGGTACGCCTCTTCTTGGTCTCTCAGCTCAGCCGGTGACCTTCTCCTGTCCACTGCTCATATACTTACTGCTAACTTACGCCTGTCTACCCTCTTCAGACTCTCCTCTGGTTTTCAATCATTTAAGAAGTCCCTCAAAACTCATCTCAGGACATCTTCAGAACAGCTTATGGCCTCTCAGCATAACTTTTATTTCACAAACCTGTCTATTGCTCTGTCTTAGAGCCGCATTCCAGTCCTACATTTCAACCATGTCACTTGATTGCTATCCCCCATGTTCCCTTCCCATTGTGTTCCTATATCTCCATCTTCTCTAGATTGTGAGCAGTGTCCTCATCAACCTGTTAATCAGGGGTCAAGTCCTGGGGAACAAAGTGAGGGAACTCACCCAAGATTCCCGCTCCCCAACCCCTCCCCTAAAAAAAATTACACTCCTATGCATATAGTGCAGTGCATGGTGTGTATAATAAATGTAGTGTGTTTGTAGTGAGTGCACAGTGTGTATAATGAATGTAGTGTGTTTGTAGTGGGTGCAGAGTGTGTATAATGAATGTAGTGTGTTTGTAGTGAGTTCAGTGTGTTTGTAGTAAATGCAGAGTGTGTATAATGAATGTAGTGTGTTTGTAGTGGGTGCAGAGTGTGTATAATGAATGTAGTGTGTTTGTAGTAAGTGCACAGTGTGTATAATGAATGTAGTGTGTTTGTAGTGGGTGCAGAGTGTGTATAATGAATGTAGTGTGTTTGTAGTGAGTGCAGTGTGTATAACGAATGTAGTGTGTTTGTAGTGAGTGCAGAGTGTGTATAATGAATGCAGTGTGTTTGTAGTGAGTGCAGAGTGTGTATAATGAATGCAGTGTGTGTAGTGAGTGCAGTGTGTATAATGAATGTAGTGTGTTTGTAGTGAGTGCACAGTGTGTATAGTGAATGTAGTGTTTGTAGTGAGTGCAGAGTGTGTATAATGAATGTAGTGTGTTTGTAGTGAGTGCAGAGTGTGTATAATGAATGTAGTGAGTGCAGTGTGTGTAGCGAGTGCAGTGTGTATAATGAATGTAGTGAGTGCACAGTGTGTATAATGAATGTAGTGTGTTTGTAGTGAGTGCACAGTGTGTATAGTGAATGTAGTGTTTGTAGTGAGTGCAGAGTGTGTATAGTGAATGTAGTATGTTTGTAGTAAGTGCAGAGTGTGTATAGTGAATGTAGTGTGATTGTAGTGAGTGCAGAGTGTGTATAGTGAATGTAGTGTGTAGTGAGTGCAGTGTGTATAATGAATGCAGAGTATTTGTAGTGAGTGCAGAGTGTGTATAATGAATGCAGTGTATGTAGTGTGTTTGTAGTGAATGCAGAGTGTGTATAGTGAATGTAGTGTATAGTGGATGTAGTGTGTAGTGAGTGCAGAGTGTGTATATTGAATGCAGAGTGTGTATAGTAAATGTAGTGTGTTTGTGGTGAGTGCAGAGAGTGTATAATGAATGCAGTGTGTGTGTAGTGACTGCAGAGTGTGTATAGTGAATGTAGTGTGTTTGTAGTGAGTGCACAGTGTGTATAATGAATGTAGTGTGTTTGTAGTGAGTGCAGAGTGTGTATAATGAATGTAGTTTGTAGTGAGTGCAGTGTGTATAATGAATGCAGAGTATTTGTAGTGAGTGCAGAGTGTGTATAATGAATGCAGTGTATGTAGTGTGTTTGTAGTGAATGCAGAGTGTGTATAGTGAATGTAGTGTATAGTGGATGTAGTGTGTAGTGAGTGCAGAGTGTGTATATTGAATGCAGAGTGTGTATATTGAATGCAGAGTGTGTATAGTGAGTGTGTTTGTAGTGAGTGCAGATTGTGTATAATAAATGTAGTGTGTGTGCTGGATGAAGTGTGTGTGTGTGTGTGTGTGCTGGATGATGTGTGTGTGTGTGTGTGCGCTGGTGATGTGTGTGTGTGTGTGTGCTGGATGATGTGTATGTGTGTGTGCTGGATGATGTGTGTGTGTGTTGGATAATATCTGTGAGTGCGCTGGATGACGTGTGTGTGTGTGCGCAGTGGATGATGTGTGTGTGTGTGTGTACACTGGATGGTGTGTGTGCGCACTGGATGATGTGTGTGTGTGTGTGTGTGTGTGTGTGTTACTGGATGGATGCAGTGTGTGTGTGTAACACTGGATGTGTGTGTGTGTGCACTGGATGATGTGTGGTGTGTGTAAAGACTGGATGGTGTAAAGGCTGGATTGTGTGTGTGTGTGTGTGTGTGTTGGATGTGTGTGTGCACTGGATGATATGTGTGTGGTGTGTGTGTGTGCGCGACTGGATGATGTGTGTGTGTGTGTGTGTGTGTGCAACTGGATGATGTGTGTGTGTGTGTGTGTGTGCACTGGATGATATGTGTGTGCTGGATGATGGGTGTGTGAGTGCTGGATGATGGGTGTGTGAGTGCTGGATGATGGGTGTGTGTGTGCTGGATGATGGGTGTGTGTGTGCTGGATGATGGGTGTGTGTGTGAGTGCTGGATGATGTGTGTGTGAGTGTTGGATGATGGGTGTGTGTGAGTGCTGGATGATGGGTGTGTGTGTGCTGGATGATGGGGGGGTGAAGCATTTTTTTACTTTATGTATATATATTTTTTTTTTATTCCCCCCTCCCTGCTTCTTACCTTGTCAGGGAGGGGGAGATCGCCTGGTGGTCCGGTGGAGGGAACCAGCCGCTGCACAGAGGGGCCATCACACGCTGTGTTCCCTCTCCAGCTCTAACTCTCGCGAGACTCGCCTGTGCGGAGCGTTGCCATGGTAACAGCCGCGGGTCTCGCGAGAGGTATAGCTGGAGAGGGAACACAGCGTGTGCTGGCCCCTCTGTGCAGGTAGCAGGGCCGGTCCTGCAGGACAGGTAACGGGAACGGCGCCTCGTTTTGAAAAAAGTGCAGGAACGCCGTTCCCATGCGTTCCTGCAGGACTCGAGCCCTGCTGTTAATAGCATTTTGTAATCGTCTCATTTATTGTTACATTTCCCCCTTTATAATATTGTAAAGTGCTGCAAAATAAGTTGGCGCTATATAAATGACATATATATATATATATACACACACATACATACATACATACATACATACATACATACACACTCTCTCTCTTTCTCTCCCTCTTTAAAAGTCACTCAGATCTTTCAAGAACTGACTGTTTATTTGCTGCATAATATATCGCACCCCTTGATAGGTGTCATTTTTAACGATATAATTAATATTATTCACTTCACCTGTGGTGGTTTTAATGCTTTGCTGATTTGTGTATATATGTATATGTATGTATGTATATATATATATATATATATATATATATATATATTATTAAGGAAGTGGGCGCTCAGAGAACTTCTTTAGCTTATGTCCTTCCCCGTGACACCCCACCTCTGAGGGGCCCTAAATACCAATTAGGGGGGGACCTAATGTCCTCCCCCTGGTCCCCACCCCTGAGCGGTGGGTGGGGGCCCTAAATACCAATATGAGGGACCTATTGTCCTCCCCCTGGCCCCCACCCCTGAGCGGCGGGTGAGGGCCCTAAATAAAAATATAACCCCCCCCACCCAGGTGACTAGGGGTCCCCAAACCCCTAGTCACCTCCCCCCCAAAAAAATTAACCCCTACCTACCCCCTCACCCTAAAAATAATGAGGGGGTGACCTTTAACTAAGTACCTGTAAAAATAAAATAGCACTTACCATTTGATGTTTTCTTGATCTTCTTTTTTCAGCCCCCAAAAAAGGCGAAATAAAAATCCATAATAACCGACGCACTTAAAAAAAAAATGAAAAAAAAGAACCAGAGTGCAAAAAAAATAATCCATCTTCACCCATGGAGGGCTCCACGCAGACTGAGCTCTGCAGGGCGGGGGAAGGCTTATAAAGCCTTCCCCCGCCCTGCAATTAGGCTCAGAGCACTCTGATTGGTGGGTTTAAGCCATCCAATCAGAGTGCTCTGACAGGTAAATGAAGAGACTGACAGACTGAAATCCACCAATCAGAGTGCTCTGTGTCATTTTACACAGCGTGTGAAAGTTCTTTGGAATTTTAAGTAACCAATCAGAGTGTTATGAGTCAAATTACACAGCGTGGGAAAATTCCAAAGAAGAATGGTGGATTTCGAGGCAACCAATCAGAGTGCTGTGACAGGTAAATGTAGAGACTTACCTGTCAGTCTCTTCATTTACCAGTCAGAGAACTCTGATTGGATGATTTAAACCCACCAATCAGAGTGCTCTGAGCCTAATTGCAGCTGAAAAAGGAAGATTTTAGAAGAAAGAAAACATCAAATGGTAAGTTTATTTTTAGTTTTACAGGTACTTAGTTTAAGGTCCCCCCTCCTTTTTTTTTTAGGTGAGGGGGGTAGGTAGGGGTTCATTTTTGGGGGGAGGGGGTGACTAAGGAATTGGGGACCCCTAGTCACCTGGGGGGGGTAAATCTTTATTTAGGGCGTGGGGGCCAGGGGGAGGACAATAGGTTCCCCCTAATTGGTATTTAGGGCCCCCACACACCGCTCAGGGGGAGGACATTAGGTCCCTCCCAATTGGTATTTAGGGCCCCCACCCACCACTCAGGGGTGGGGACCAGGGGGAGGACAATAGGTCCCCCCTAATTGGTATTTTGGGCCTCCACACACCGCTCAGGGGGAGGACATTAGGTCCCTCCCAATTGGTATTTAGGGCCCCCACCCACCACTCAGGGGTGGGGACCAGGGGGAGGACATTAGGTTCCCCCCCCCCCTAATTTTTATTTAGGGCCCCCACCTGCCGCTCACCCTTATTCTAATTTAGGGCCCCTACCGCCGCTCATGGGTGGGGGCCAGGGTGGGAAGACAATAGGTCCCCCCCTTATTGGTATTTAGGGCCCCCACCCACCGCTATGGGGTGGGGGAGGGGGGAGGACAATAGGTCCCCCCCCATTATTTTACTTTAGGGCCCAGATCCACCGCTCCGGGGGGGAGGACAATAGGCCCCCCCCCCTTATTCAAATTTAGGGCCCCCACCCACCACTCATGGGGAGGTCCCCTCCTTTATTTTACTTTATGGCCCCCACCTGCCGCTCAGGACTGTTTACTAGACATGAATTTACTAATACTAAGTGATCTTTACTTTGTATTAGTAAATTTGGCTGAAATACCAATTCAGGGCTTTCAGCCTTTTAGTAGATAGCTCCCTAATACCGTGGGAATTAGGGAGTTATCTACTTATTCATTCCTGTCATTACATTGACTGGCCAAGTAACTTACATTTTATATGAATGTATGTTACTTGATTGCTGTAAGTGTTGCAAATGCTTACAGCTGAATCCTGGCTATGTTTGTATACTTTTTATTTAAAATTGTATACAGTGTAACATTCTTCTTCTTCCACTGGGTAAGTATATTAGTACTTAGGCAATACTGTACCCGAATGTCCGAATTGCCCAAAATTAGTTCGCATTCAGACCGAAACGAATTGCAGATGTCTAGTAACAGTGCCAATTTTGTTGTAGCCAGCATTTTAACGTTTCGTGAATACTGTTGTGTCGGGACCCAGAGTAGGTCTGTTATTGAATGTGGTGCGCTTATTGCTTGTTCTAATACATACCACTTGGGAAGGGGGGAGATGTAGTGCATACCCTGGCAATCTGTGCCAGGATAGAGGCCACATAGTACTTTGCAACATTTGGAACACTCAAGCGTCCCTCCTTCATTGCAATGCAGGTACTTGTCAGGAGACCCTTGGAGGTTTGCGTTTCCATATATGTGTGTTTAGCGTCTGAAATTTCATTAGGACCACTTTAGGGATCTCAATCGGTAGGGTTTGAAATAAAAACAACATTTGTGGCAAAAAAAGCATATTCAGTGCATTAATACATCATAGCCACAAGGTCCTGGACCCACTCCAACCAGTGGAGTGGATCCGCAACGGACACCAAGCCACCCTCCCCCCAGAGAATACCGACGGTCTCCCTCTCCCTCCCCTGCACATGCACATGCAGGCACCAGCGGACCTAGCTGATGGCACGGAATATAAAGACAATAATCCATGCAGGAAGTTGCATGGAAAGCAGTATTTTTGTAGGATCTCAATCATATACCCCCAATGGAGATGGTCACAGGCCTTCTCTGCGTCTAACGCAAGAGCAAGGCCAGGCATATTATTAATCATCATTAATTCAAAAAGATTCAATGCTCGATGGGTGTTATCCTCGACCTGTCGCCCTGTGACAAACCCTGCCTGTTCAGGAGATGCAAGAGTAGATGGAAGGGGTCTTATTCTATTGGCCATAGCTTTGGCAAATAGTTTTATGTCAGCATTTCATAATTATATCGGTCAATAATTTGCACATATTGTAGGTTTTTTTTCCGGTTTGGAAAGTGTGATAAAGGTTGCCTGCAACATTTCTAGAGGTAGATAACCTGACTCCACAGTGTGGTTAAAAAGTGCGGTCAAGTGAGGTATTAAAAGATCAGAAAATTTGGTGTAATAGTAGGTGGGAAAACCGTCTCGTCCTGGCGTTTTATGTTTCTGAGTATTCTTCAATATCTGAGAAATCTCATCAGTCATAAAGGACCTATCTAGGCCTTCTCCTTGCTCACAAAACAGTGGATGTAATGCTACCCCATCAAGGAAGTCAGAAGGAGATGGGTTAGGAGCAGATTAAAAGGAATTATTCATCATTATACTTATATTCCACTCTCTATCATCCCAAATTGGCTTTTTTTTCTTACAGGATGAGGTAGACCATCGTTTCCCAATTGGTGTTTGGCGGAACCCTGGGGTTCCGCAGAACACCAATTCAGGTTCCGCCAAAAGTTTCAAAAATAAAATGGCCGCGAGGGAGCAGCGATCTCCCTCACGCGCACAGTAGTGCTGGAGACGGAATATGATGTCACTCCGGCTCCGGCATCACTAAGAGACACGCAAGGGAGCTGAGCAGGGAGATCACTGCTCCCTCGCCGCTCAGCAGCCCCACTGGACCCCAGGAACTCCATGCCAGCACTCCACTCCTAAAGGTAGGGGGGCTGGGTGGAGTAAAATGTAAAAAAAAAATTGTATGTGTGTCTGTTAGGGAGTTTGTGTGTCTGTCAAAGAGTATACGTGTGTTTGTCAGTGAGAGTGAATGTGTGCTTGTCAGTGAGTGTGTGAGAGTGTAACCGCAGGTGGTTCCCTTATTTACCACTATAATGTCTTAAAGCATAGAACTTAGTAGGGCTAACCATACAGATATCTTAGCCATAATTTTATATAGTTAGTAAGAGATCCTCTATTTAACATATATAAATAATTGAGAATACAATATAAAATAAGGATTGTCTTGGAAGCAATAGTGTCTTTTTGGATATTAATTATATAAAAATATAAATATAAAATCCATTATATCAGAATTTATAAGATTAAATTACATGCTTGCAATAGGTTAACATACCCTTCTGAACATGCCATCATGTCAGCCTCTCTGTCATTTTAAGATGGAGCAGCGTCTGTCTCCAAGTCTCTCCTCTGTTTCTTAACATTTAAAAGTACACCTATTTATACCTTAGGTGTCTCCATTTTAGGGTTACCGTAGTTCATTTACTTTATTCATTTTAGGACCTCCCTTAATTTGGCAAACATACAAGGCCATAACTAAAGGGTGCATTCGTCATGGAAATTTTCCTGACTTAGTTCAAGATGGCATCTTAAAGTCTGAATAGGTTATCTGTTGTTTATACTAAGTCATAAGTGTACAGTCGTGGGAGATTCCAGGATTTGGGGAAGTTCCATTAACTTGGGGTTACCACAGTATATTGTGTACTGCAAGTGTCATAGTATAGCCTTGAAGCTTGTTTATGCATTATTGTTATTGTAATTCGTCTGGGACAAAATGGCACAAACATATTATGCACTGAGGTTATTGCTTAAAGAAACATCTATGAAAAACAATATGTTCCATTTCTAACACCTTGTCAATTTGCAATATCTCTTAAAGACAAAGTACACAGTTTAAGAAATACAACATTTCATTCTAAAACTTGTAATATTTGCATTTGCCCATAACAAGAGTATATGTGTTTGTCAGTGAGAGTGTATATGTGTTTGTATGTGTGTCTGTCAAAGAGTAGGTGTGTTTGTCAGTGAGAGTGTATGTGTGTCTGTCTGTCAAAGAGTATGTGTGTCTGAGTGTGTCAGTGTGTGTGTGTGTATCTGTGTGTCAAGGTTTGTGTGTGTCACTGTGTGTATCTAAGTGGGTGTGTATGTGCCAGTGTGTATGTGCCAGTGTGTATCTGTGGGTGTATATGTCACTAAGTGTGTGTATTTTTGAGTCAAGATGTGTATGTATCTGTGTCAAGGTGTTTCTCAGTGTGTATCTGTGTGCCAGTGTGTCAGATACAGATACACACACTGGCGCATACAAACACAGATACACACACCGGCACATACAAACAGATACACACACACTATGTCTGTGTGTATTTGTGTGGCACTGCCAGTGTGTGTGTCAGATTAATGCACACTGGCACATATAAACACAGATACACAGACACATACAAACACAGATACACACACGTTGACACACAGATACATACATACACACACACACACACACAGATACACACTATGTGTCAAGGTGTGTGTATCTGTGTGCCACTATGTGCCAGTGTGTGTGTGTGTGTATCTGTGTGTCAGATATACACACACTGGCACATAAAAGCACAGATAAACACGCCTTGACACACACATGCACATACAAAAAGACAGCGCAGCTTTAGGGGTGGGGGTCTGAAAGTTGGGTGCCCGGTGCTAGGCGGACAAGCTAATTGCGTGTGAAGAGAGAGCGAGAGTAAAAAGTCATGTGAAAGTCCTGCAAAAGACCTGCATACCACGGGAGAGAGGAGAGGAGAAAAGGCGAGAGATCTATGTGCCCTGTGTGCCCCAGGAAGGTGTCGTTTAAAAAAAAACGTCAAAAGGCATTCTGCCTGTTAAATTTATTTATTTTTTTAAAATCGAGGAGCCAGCAGTAAGTATGAGTAGACGTGAGCAAATAGTGGTGTACCCTGGATAATGAGACTGTGTGCAGTGAGGCAAGTGACCGTGCGTAGGGCGCTGTGTGAGGTGCATCAAATAAAGTGAGGCTGTTGAAAAGCCGGGCAATACATAAAGTACACAAAGTAAAAAAAAAAAGTCTCCAAGCCAACTCTTTTTTTCAGGCAGAATATAGCTATAGAGAAGTAGCTCTGTGTCTATTTCTGTTCCTGCTTCTCAGTTTGAGCTGGAATTAAAAAAAAAAAAAAATGGTTAAAAAAGCATGAAAAGTTGCAAGAAAAAGTATGTGCACCCTTTGGAATGATATGGATTTCTGAACAAATTGGTCATAAAATGTGATCTGATCATCATCTAAGTCACAACAATAGACAATCACAGTCTGCTTAAACTAATAACACACAAAGAATGAAATGTTGCCATGTTTTTATTGAACACACCATGTAAACATTCACAGTGCAGGTGGAAAAAGTATGTGAACCCCTAGACTAATGACATCTCCAAGAGCTAATTGGAGTGAGATGTCAGCCAACTGGAGTCCAATCAATGAGATGACATTGGAGGTGTTGGTTACTGCTGCCCTGCCCTATAAAAAACACACACCAGTTCTGGGTTTGCTTTTCACAAGAAGCATTGCCTGATGTGAATGATGCCTCACACAAAAGAGCTCTCAGAAGACCTACGATAAAAAATTGTTAACATGCATAAAGCTGGAAAGGGTTATAAAAGTATCTCCAAAAGCCTTGCTGATCATCAGTCCATGGTAAGACAAATTGTCTATAAATGGATAAAGTGCAGCACTGCTACTACTCTCCCTAGGAGTGGCCGTCCTTTAAAGATGACTACAAGAGCACAGCGCAGACTGCTCAATGAGGTGAAGAAGAATCCTAGAGTGTCAGCTAAAGACTTACAAAAGTCACTGGCAAATGCTAACATCCTTGTTAGCGAATCTACAATACGTAAAACACTAAACAAGAATGGATTTCATGGGAGGATATCACAGAGGAAGCCACTGCTGTCCAAACAAAACATTGCTGCACGTTTACAGTTTGCACAAGAGCACCCGGATGTTCCACAGCAGTACTGGCAAAATATTCAGTGGACAGATGAAACCAAAGTTAAGTTGTTTGGAAGAAACACACAACACTATATGTGGTGAAAAAAAGGAACAGCACACCAACATCAAAACCTCATCCCAACTGTGATGTATGGTGGTGGGGGCATCATGGTTTGGGGCTGCTTTGCTGCATCAGGGCCTGGACGGATTGCTAACATCAAAGGAAAAATGAATTCCCAAGTTTATCAAGACATTTTGCAGGAGAACTTAAGGCCATCTGTCTACCAGCTGAAGCTCAACAGAAGATGGGTGTTGCAACAGGACAATGATCCAAAGCATAGAAGTAAATCAACAACAGAATGGCTTAAACAGAAGAAAATACGCCTTCTGAAGTGGCCCAGTCAGAGTCCTGACCTCAACCCGATTGAGATGCTGTGGCATGACCTCAAGAAAGCGATTCACACCAGACATCCCAAGAATATTGCTGAACTGAAACAGTTCTGTAAAGAGGAATGGTCAAGAATTACTCCTGACCGTTGTGCACGTCTGATCTGCAACTACAGGAAACGTTTGGTTGAAGTTATTGCTGCCAAAGGAGGTTCAACCAGCTATTAAATCCAAGGGTTCACATACTTTTTCCACCTGCACTGTGAATGTTTACATGGTGTGTTCAATAAAAACATGGCAACATTTCATTCTTTGTGTGTTATTAGTTTAAGCAGACTGTGATTGTCTATTGTTGTGACTTAGATGATGATCAGATCACATTTTATGACCAATTTGTGCAGAAATCCATATCATTCCAAAGAGTTCACATACTTTTTCTTGCAACTGTATTTACGTTATTTATTCCATGTGCCACCGCTTGTCTGATCTGTTTCATGAGAGATGTTGAGGGAGCCAGCCCCTTATACTTCATAAGCCATATGCACAGCCTAGTAGACTCACTATTAATGTAACTGCTGCTTAATTGACAGAATCGACCAAACCTGATTACACTGTGATCTTACTATGAATGTCATTGAAGTCCTACTGACATAACTGACTAAGCATATTTACTCTGTGACTCTACTATTTCTGGTGACGCACTACTGACTTAACAAAAGTGATGCATGCATACAGGTATGGAGGCTTAACTGGTTGTCAATAGACTAGATTATACACTGCTTAAGCTTATTCAAAGTATAAATTTGCTTTAACATAGTTAGTATCATCCTGGTGACACCAATGGGTGCTGTGCCTTTAATCTAAACACCTAAACATTTCCAGTGCATTAGAGCATCCAGCTAACCTAACTACAGCTACCACTAGCACTGTGTTGCAGACTGATATGTCTAATTACGTTACTCCTGCTATAATTTAAAATATGTGCAATGTTTCTGATGCCACTCTATTGATACCACATGTTTTCTTTATGTTTGCACCAGCTGTCGTGGCAGTGCAAAACTGTTGTTAACTCGATGCACAAAAAAAAAAAAAAAAAGATATGAAACAGAGACAGAAAAAAAGCAGAAACGGGCAACTATGTGGTAGCACTTCCCATGTATGAATCAAATAATATAATTAGAGAAAATTGCAGTAGAGAAGTTATGAAAATAATTAGTCTCATCTTTAATAGGATAGAATATATAGATATTAAAGAGAATCCAAAGATATTTTACTTATATGATGTATTTTCATATATTTTTGTTGTAATATTTTATAATACTGAGGAGTATCACCACATAATTGTCTAAATAGATGTAAAACATGTAAACACATAACAAACATAAGTGAGAATAAAAGGAATGGTGAGAGCACTCAAATAAGATTACAATAAAATTTTACCCATTGGTTAATACATTTCAGAAAAAGAAACAGAAAAATACAACATAGGGTAATAACGTCAAATAAATTAAAGTGACGTAGTGGATAAATTGCACTCACATACGAAGAGCCAATTAGGAGCTGGCTCAAGCTGATCGCCTTGAACAGAAATCTTCCTAAGGACTGGAACACAAATTGTAGTGGGTATCTTCCCAAAGTTGCACAAACCAGGAAAACAAATAAAAAATTGTACATAAACTGTAGTAAACACTATGCAACTACAAAAATAATAAAAAATGAGGAAAGTCCCATATAAATATAAAATAAGTCCCAAAAATGTCCTCAGGATCCACCTTACGCGTTTCGGCACAAAGCCTTCATCAGAGGTGCTGTGTTCTGTCCAAATACGAAGTTCCTTTTAAATCTTATTTGGCGCCATTTTCGCCGTCTTCCCGGCACTTTACTTCCGGGTTCTGACGTCAGGTGCGTGTTACGTCATCGCGTCCTGACGTCACTTCCGGTTTCGGCGGGTATGACGTGCCGGAACCGTCATAATAACAAGTCCATATAAATAACATGTAAAAGATTAGAGACTGGAGATAACATAAAAGAAATACATGGTAAAGTAATAAAATACCACAAATTTAGAACCATAAGTCCCAAATATTTATTTAATCTAGTAATAGGAGAAGAAAAATATAATAAAAAATGATAAAAATAAAAAGATATATATAAAATATATAATATGTATGTATAAAAAATGTACTACAGAGGCCAAATTAGAAACATACATATATATATATATATATATATATATATATATATATATACATAAAGTATATATATGCATGTAAAAAATATATATATAAAAAATAATAATAATTTATAGCTTAAAAATTATCTATAAAAATAAATAAATTGAGAGGCAAAAGATAATTAATAAATAAAGCAACATTAAAATATATAGGATAACACATAAAAATAACTAAAAATCCCAAAAAAGTTAAAATTAAATATATTTATTAATTTCAAAATCTACATTTAAACCATTTGGGACCATAGTCTCTAATTCAAACATCCATTTCATTTCTGTGTATCCTAAAATATATTCTTTATCACCACCTCTCCAGTGGGTTTTAATTAAATCAATACCTAAAAACTCTATACCTCTCGGGTCTCCATTATGTGCTTCTGTAAAATGTTTAGAAACATTATGGTTAAGAAATTTGCGTTTAATATTATAAATATGTTCTCTAATACGAGTTTTTAAAGTGCGTATTGTCTTGCCAATATATTGGAAACCACATTGGCAAGTAAGTAAATAAATAATACCTTTACTAGAACAATTAATAAACGTCTTTATTGTATATTCTTTTTTAGTAACCAAAGACACAAAATGAGAAACCTTTTTATTTCTATTTGTTCTAAATGAGCATCCTTGACATGTACCACAATAACGGAAACCTATGCTTCCTTAAAAAAATTATTTTTATCTTCTATTATTTCTTTATCTAAAAAACTTTTAGTTAATATTTGTCTAAAATTATTTGCCCCCCTAAAAATAAATTTTGGTTTCAAATCTAAAAACGGAAGTGCTCCTGAATCCTCTTTTAAAACATGCCAATGCTTTTTAATTATTTTTTGTAATGCTCCATTATTAGAGCTAAAATCAAAAATAAAAGGAACTGTTTTAGTGTCATTCTGGTTATTCTTAAAATCTTGTTTCATTTTTGACTTATATTCAAGGAGAGGTTGTCTTTCTTTTTCTGCAATTTCGTTTTCAATTGTATCCAAGTCTTCTTTTATATATCCTTTTTCGACAAATTTTCTTTTTAAAATTTCTACTTGTTTAAAATATTCCTCTCCTTCTGTACAATTCCTTTTAAGTCTTAAAAATTGCCCTTTTGGAATATTAGTCAACCATGGTTTAAAATGGCAACTTTTTAAATCTATAAAACTATTAACATCTACTGTTTAAAAAAAAGTTTTACTTTTAATTTTATTGTTCTCAACATAAATTAAAAGATATAAAAAATTAACATGCTCGGCACTGATATCGTAAGATAAATTAATATTATAAGAATTACAATTAAGAGAGCTAATAAAATTTTCCAAGGATTCTCTGTTACCTTTCCAAATGATAAAAATATCGTCTATATATCTCTTACAGAGGACCAGAGGTGGTGATAAAGAATATATTTTAGGATACACAGAAATGAAATGGATGTTTGAATTAGAGACTATGGTCCCAAATGGTTTAAATGTAGATTTTGAAATTAATAAATATATTTAATTTTAACTTTTTTGGGATATTTTTAGTTATTTTTATGTGTTATCCTATATATTTTAATGTTGCTTTATTTATTAATTATCTTTTGCCTCTCCATTTTTTTTTTATAGATAATTTTTAAGCTATAAATTATTATTATTTTTTATATATATATTTTTTATATGCATATATATACTTTATGTATATATATATGTTTCTAATTTGGCCTCTGTAGTACATTTTTTATACATACATATTATATATTTTATATATATCTTTTTATTTTTATTATATTTTTCTTCTCCCATTACTAGATTAAATAAATATTTGGGACTTATGGTTCTAAATTTGTGGTATTTTATTACTTTACCATGTATTTCTTTTATGATATCTCCAGTCTCTAATCTTTTACATTTTATTTATATGGACTTGTTATTATGACGGTTCCGGCACGTCATACCCGCCGAAACCGTAAGTGACGTCAGGACGCGATGACGTAAGATGCACCTGACGTCAGAACCCGGAAGTAAAGTGCCAGGAAGACGGAGAAAATAGCGCCAAATAAGATTTAAAAGGAACTTCGTATTTGGACAGAACACAGTACCTCTGATGAAGGCTTTGTGCCGAAACGCGTAAGGTGGATCCTGAGGACATTTTTGGGACTTATTTTATATTTATATGGGACTTTCCTCATTTTTAATTATTTTTGTAGTTGCATAGTGTTTATTAAAGTTTATGTACAACTTTTTATTTGTTTTCCTGGTTTGTGCAACTTTGGGAAGATACCCACTACAATTTGTGTTCCAGTCCTTAGGAAGATTTCTGTTCAAGGCGATCAGCTTGAGCCAGCTCCTAATTGGCTCTTCGTATGTGAGTGCAATTTATCCACTACGTCACTTTAATTTATTTGACGTTATTACCCTATGTTGTATTTTTCTGTTTCTTTTTCAGAAATGTATTAACCAATGGGTAAAATTTTGTAATCTTATTTGAGTGCTCTCACCATTCCTTTTATTCTCACTTATGTCTATTGTAGTGGTTATTGTGGCCCACTAAGGTGATTGTAGCACCAGTGTTCATTTATCTTTTCACCGTGTGTTTTATTGTTTACATAACAAACATGTACATATCTACAGAACCTGAACCCCTCACATGGATGGAAGTAGTGTGTATATTTAATAGCAAAAAACTTTATATATTAAGAACCACTTAGGGAATAAATATCCCATCCAAGAAATCTATGAGAAAAAAACCTTAAAGGTCCATTGTGGCGGCCACCCCATTAAGAAGAGGGGTTTCACCGCCAGAGATGTTCTTTTCCCCCTAGTGTGAGTGATGCTGTAGTACTTTCCCAGTAGTTGTAATCCAAAGCGAGTAGAGCAGGGATATAGCTGGCTCTATGTTGGGGATGAACTGGTTTTAATGGGAACCACACACGGCATTTTATGTAACTCCCCATGCAAGGGGTTTCCTAAAACATATTCCATGGGCATTCCCCACTGGACCTGAGAGGAGACTGTTACAAAGTATACATCTAAATACATTCTCTCTTAGGTTAAGAACATATACATGTATTACACCCTAAAACATACATTTCACAATTAGGTACCCCCTCAAATTCTATATCTCCGGGTAGCCTGGATTTGAGCGCCCAACATATCCCAAAAGTGCTCAGATCCCATGAACGCAGCCGAAATGTCACCGGGGTCAGGTTTAGACCGACCGCACACAAGGCCTCTGCCCAAAATAGTTCCAGGAAATTGGGCTGAGAGGTCGGTGTTTTTCGGGGGTACAAAATATAATAAAATACCAAACGTAACTGTTCGTGCATACATTGAGTCTGTGTCCCTTGTTTGGGAGTGTGCTCCCACCGTACACCTTTCAGTTCTGCTGAATATAACCGAACGTAGGTGGGGGTGACAGTTTCAGTGGTGTTGGGGCGGTCGAGTGTCCGATTTTGGTTCCATACACTCGACAACCAAACACCGCTGCACGTGTTCGCGGCTAAGATGGCCACCGCCACGTGTTTGCACATACGAACCACGACCAACCAGCCGGCCGCTTAGAATGCTGTGGTTATTGCGGTTAATGAGGTGATGACAGAGGTGAAAAGGGTCAACGAGCACCACACTTAGTATATGGGTGGTCTAACAGTTCCTGAGTTTATTCGGTATACGAACAAAATGAACATAATCAGTTCGGTGCACCCCATATGCCGGACCAATAGGTGAAAGAAATTAAGTTTTATAATCCAGAGACAGAGGGTCTGTCACATGTATTGTAACGAGATATAGATCTCTTAAAAAGATTATCTTGTTGGAGATTAACCCTGTATGTGAATAATATATTAGAGAAAGCACACTATATCTATGTCCACGTTGTGACCACCTGGTTCCAGGGAACCCAACTGGTGGAAAGGTCTCCCGCTGTGTGAGCCTGTCTTCTCTCCTTCCTCCTCTCCAATATGGTGGAATATATTCTATTCCAAAGAAAGGAGAATTAATTCCAACTGAAGTGTAAACAGGAATTGCAATGTACAGGGACTGTGTGGTTAATGGCCTTCTTTCTGATGTTTCCAAAATGTTCTAGGATGCTGACTTTTAGTTTTTTGTTTTTTTTTCCAGACGTATTGTTTGCCACGCGGGCAATGTAATAAATATATCACATGGTCCGTGTGGCAATCTATTTTGTGTTTAATGGTTTATTGTTTCCCTGTTACTGTACTAGTGAAGTTCTTTACCATAGACATAGAGATTTTTTGCATTCTTTACAGTGTCTGCAGTATCTGAATCCTTTATCCGAAGTGTGATTCTTTCTTATCCATGTGTTTAATGCTGTAACTTGGAGCTAATTTTTTTTTTCAAGATTTTGGTTCCTTTTAAAAATAAATGGGAGGTCGTTCTGGTAAAACGGATCAGAGGATGTTATCCTCTCGAAGAATAGGCCAATATTTTGATATCGCTCTTTTGATTTTGAAGTGGTCGGCGTTATACCTAGTGATGAAGGCATGTTCAAATTTCTGTGTCTGTTTTTTGTTACTAGAGTGTGTTTCTCTATCTATCATTAATTTGTTTCTATCTATCTCTGCAATTCTTTTTTAATCTTTTCAATATGATTTTTCTTGTAACCTTTCATCATTAATTTGTTTTTTACAATGGCAGCTTGTTGATAATAGTCATCCAAGGTAGTGCAGTTACGTTTAACCCTTGTAAGTTGGCTCTTTGCAATGCTCATGATGGCAACTTTGCCTATGAACATGTTTCCCGTCTGTTTTTTTTTTTAAAATAGCATTTGGAGACTATAAATGTAAATGAAGAGTGTAAACTTGTAAACTTCTGCAAGGTCTAGCAAGCTATTAACAGTGCAGGACATAAGAAATTGTAAATTAAACAGAATTTGCAATAAAGGAAGTGTAAACATTAGATGATTCTTTACAGGAAGTTTTTAGGAAGTTTGTGTAAGTCACATGCAGGGAGGTGTTCCTAGGGCTCCATAAACAAAGTAATTTAACTCCTAAATGGCAGAGAATTGAGCAGTGAGACTGCAGTGCATGATCTATACATCAAAGCTCCTTTAGATTGTAAGCTCACAGGCTATCTAGCTATGCACTTTGTATAAAAGAGCTTAAATGGCTAGATCTCCGTTTACGGGCAGGGCCCTCTCTACCTTTTGTATTTGTCTGTGTATATTGTATGTTCTCCACTAATTGTACAGCGCTGCGGAATCTGTTGGTGCTTTATAAATACGAGTAATAAATAAATAAAGCTGCCTCATTAAGCTAAAGTTGTTTTTGTGACTATAGTGTCCCTTTAATGCACCTTTTTATACATAATTTATTTTACTGGCCTTAGCAACTGCTGATTGGCATTGCACATTGTTGCCTAGTTTGTCGTCTATGATAATTCCCAAATCCTTCTCATGTGTGGTTATCCCTAATTCACTACCATTTAGGGTATACGTTGCTTGTATCTACATTAAAATTAATCTGCTATTTGAATGCCCAGTCCACCAATCTATCTAAATACATCTGCTGCAAAGTAATATCTTGCTCACATTGTATTACTTTACAGAGTTTTGCAAACACTGAAACATGACTTTCAATGCCTATTTCAATATCATTTATAAATATGTTAAATAGAAGCGGTCCCAGAACAGAGCCCTGAGGGACCCCACTTTTGCTCACCTTGAAAATTTGCCATTAATGACAACTCTCTATACTCTTAGAAAAAAGGCTCTAATGAAATTAGTGCCTGGGTGCCAAAAGCACAGACCAGGACTGTCCAAATGCCTGACCTTAAATTAAATTAAGAAGGAAAAAAAAAGAATTATGTGGCTAATTCCAAATAGATGGGATTATCCTGCCTGCTAATATTACGAGCTCTTTATTACATTAAAATCCATAATCACAGCACTGCCAAGTATGGTTTGCTATAATCCAAGGTTAAGTGTGACAATTATCCTTCTTAAAAATAAGATGGACGAAGTTGGATTCAACATGAACTGTTAAAAACGAATGACAGTAAACCACTTGCAGGCTTTAATCAACAGTTGCCTATGTGTTTACCACTTAAATCTCAATCTACCACATATGAGACTGGCATCTAGTCTATAGTTAGAATGAATGTATATTTGTCCAGGGAGATGCACAGAGGGATACTAAATAAATTATAATATACAGAAAACAATGCTAGAATCTGAATCTCAATTAAGGGTGATTAATTCTAATGTAATTTCATTATTACTTAATCTAAGGGAAGTACGTGCCAATTATAAGAGAGATTCTCAAATGGTGTAGAGCACAAAATGTTTATTGCCCCCCCGTACGATGATAAAAGCAGACAGGAAATGACAAGGGACCCTGATGAAGGTGCATTAGTAGCACCGAAATGCACGTCGGGATATTTGCCTCACTCTCACGTGCACATTATACAAATAAGAGAGCCTGTAATTTTTGGCGAAACGCGTTAGTGTTTATTCCTTTTATACTTTTAATCTATATTTTCAACAATCTTGTTCTTTTTAACCATATTTGGACCTTTCTGAGTTTTATCCAGAAGATTTTATGCATTAGATCCTGTATTTTTTTTTTATTATTCTTTATTTTTGTAGTGCATAGGTTAGTTAACATGCTCACAGTGACATTTTAAGTGAAAAAATACAATGAGGTTGAGATCAAGATTGTCGTAAAATGTCGACAACACAGCACTTTTTTTTGTAAATAACATGGAAAAACAATCATGAAAACTATACAGTGCTTAGGAGTGATAATGAAGCAGGTTTTGTTATAGCGATTACATTTTGTAGGCACTGATCTTGATTACCACCAATAATGACAAGCTTAGTCAAAGTATATAACTATGCTGAGTATCATGCTTATAGTGGGAAACAGCCTGACCCCTCCTGATACATCTGTGTGTTTTGCACATTTCAGCAGGTAGACCAAATAGATGCTTAATATAACAACGTGTTGAAGAGTAGAGGCTGAAGATAGACGCTGCACGTAACTGAATTATGCTTTAAATAACATGAGAACTGACTAGTCGAATACGTGGTTATACAGGATAAACTTTGCTGCTGATCTGGCTATCTAGTTGTTGTTTAAGCTTAAGCGTTACAGGACAGGCAGAGTCCCCAAGACGGTGTAGGCAAAGATTAAGTAAGAGTCCCCAGTGTATCCCCACAAATTCTTAAAGTAAAGCTAACTGAGGGCAAACAGGATAGTGATGGGTAAGATATTAGTGCCAAAACCTGTAGACATCTTAGCCGACACGTTGTTTGCGGTGCTCTGCCTTAGTTATTATCTGTCCCGTGAGTTCATGCTGCGTCTCCACATCTGGGTCTGTGGGAACATAGCCCTTCTCCGGCGCGGTCCGATTCATTCAACCAGTGCCGGTTCTAGAGGTTTGACGGGTGAGCCAAAGGCAATGGCAAAGTTCCATCATGATCCGGACCGGATTGGCGGCTGGTATGCAGCTTACTGGGTCCTCTTCAGGGCGCCACCCGTGTTGTCTCAGCCTTCCTGTAATAAGTGGGGAGTAGCGGGGGCGTCCCGCCACAGCGGCCTGTGCCTTCGGTCGGTGTCGGGTAGCTGCTCGCCTCCTAGCTGGTTCAGCATGTGCTCGGGCTGCAGGCAGCTGGCGGCCCGGTGTCCCCGTCTGCCCTCCCCTCCGCTTGAGTTTTGGCGGTTCTGCCGGCTCCTTCTTCTGGTTCCCGGCAGGGGGCTGGTCATGGCAGTGTCGCCGGCCTGGGGCCCCCGCTGCTGGAGGGTGCTGAGTGCTTGGGGTTCTCTTGTGTGGTGCGTTGTAGCCTGGCATTAGCAAGGGTGCCTCTTGCAGTGCTTGGTTCAGTTTTGCCCAGAATTCCTTGAAGATTTTGTCAAGCATGGTGTTGTGCGAGATCTGGGGTCTGGGTTGCGCCATGCGTGTGGCGTCCGCCATAGTGTATGGGTCGCTGTGTTTCCCGCTTTGGGAGGCCTCTGAGTAGTTGCGCTTGTCTCCGCCAGGTAACCTTCCGGATGGGGATATCCACTGGTCCGTGGGGGGGATCACGGGGCTCTGTGTGGCGACTGCCTCCGCGTTCCAGGCGTTCCCCATTGTGAGATCGGCCGCTTATCAAGGGTTCACCAGGCCGCAGGTCAGTCATCCTGCCCTCCGGGTTTGTGACCATTTGCAGGTCATTTTTGTCGCTTGTATCTGGCTCCAGCACCGCCACAGAGGGTAATTTGCCAATTTGGTATGAATTTTCGTCGTTTATTTGGGTAGAAAACCTCATTTTGGGCAAATTAGCTTGGAGCCCACGTGAAACATGTCTGCCCGGCATGGCAGTCAGGCCCCACCCCCTAGATCCTGTATTAATATCTCCAAAAAAAGTGTCAGTGCCTTTTCTTTTATTTATCTCACCAGCCATCTGAAAATACTACACAATATTTCGTTTTTTGTTCTCTCTTTTGCATACTGAATTTTCCTGTTTGGATTTTGAGGATACTTTTAAGGCACTGCTTCCTTCTGTCCTTTTTCCACAAATTATGCACTACCCACTTTACGTTTTCCTCTGTTGTATCCTGCTTTCCTCTAGTTAAATTTCAAGGGAGAGCGGGCGGTTAAAGGGACACCGTAGGCACTGTATCTGCTTCATCTCATTAAACTGGTTATAGTGTCTGGAGTCCTCTGGTACCATCATTTCTTTCAGCATTAAACAGTTTTTAAACTTTTAATGTTTTAATGCTAAACAAGAGTCCCTGGAAATCCATCCCCTCTGTGCTGCTTTGGCTAATAAGGAAGTATTAGCCTGAGCAACAATAGGCAGCTGTGATTGGCTGAGAGTGTCAGCTGACTGCTTTTAACCTGTCAGAGTTCCAATTGACGGTATGAATGGGTATGACAACAAGGAAGTGTGTAATCTCTGCCTTAGCTACACATACTGAAGGGGCCGGACTCTGGGTGGCCAGGGAGTCTTATTTTGTGGCATACTGCACGAACATGGTGCAATACTGAATGGAGGGACAGTGCCAGGGCACTCCAGGCACTATAACCAATTCAGAGAGATGAAATGCTTATAGTGACTACAGTGTCCCTTTAAGTAGGCTGGCAGCAGCCTTCCTTAAGCTCATCCATAGATGGTATATGGAGCTGCTCACAGCCTAGGTATCCAACTTTCCTGTCATCTCCTGTGTACTTTTCTCATCATACTAGGGGGCAATATACATTTTATTATATGTTTTAGTATACCCAATACCCATTTGCTTTTTTGAGTTTATTTTAAAAGACACCATTTTGTGATAACTATATTGCTCAAGGGCTCCCTTTTTTAAACGATCAGCATTGATTGTTATAACCAGATTCAGACAAGCATCCTTTCAAGTTGGATTCTTGTACCAGTTGTGACATAGTAAATAACACTCAATAGTGTTTATGGTTATAATAAAAGCTATTTATAATTAAAGAAAAGTTACCGATTTATATTCTTTATATTTTGGGAACTCAAAGGTGACGGCCCCTTGCAAAACACCTTCCAAAGATGAAGTGTCTTCTCTGCATAACTTTATTATCCATTATATGGTATAAAATATATATATATATAACCTGTGCATATAGCGCTCCACTAATAGGTATATTTTATACCATATTTTGGTTATTTAGAATTCGTTGGGGGTAAAAAGGTATCCCACATTAAGCGTTGAGCTGCTTATCACTAAAGCACTTTACTGCGTCACACACTACCTGCTAGTAGAGGTAGACTTTAGTTTGATATTTGTATTAGCCATTAGTTTAGGCATGCTGCCTCTGTGATTGGTTCTTGGAGCAATCCCCATGTCTGCCAATTTGTGTGCTATTAATCTGCCTTAGTCAATAGCCAAGTGCAGGCTGATTTTGTTGTGTAAAGGTTACAGAGACGGTCTCCAGCATTGTAGGATTACTTTGACAAACGGTCACATAAGATGGGATATTGTTGGACTGCCTAAATTTATGGGGCCTTCAGCAATAGCCCAGTTTATAAGTCCAGCACAATTTGTAGATCAGGTACCATTTAGGGAACATTAAATTGTTAGGAATTCAAACCTGTATTTTAACAATTTAATGTTTTTTTCGCCCTTGTTATATAGGGGGGAGAGGAACCTTGTGTGCAATAAAAATAATAAAATAAAGTTTTTTTAATTGCCTTTTTTCAGCTCCGAGGCTCTTTCTTCGCTACTTACCTCTAGTTATCCCTTGGAGCAATGTATACGTAATACGCATGTGCAGTTTTTGCCCTGTGCACATCAAAGCTCCTCACAGGAAAGCACTGAATCCATAGTTTCCTATGAGGCCTTCTGCATCACATGTCGTTGCAGCAGAAGCACCTCCAGTGGCTATCAGTGTAACAGCCAAGGAAGGTGTGTTTAACCCGTTTCTTTAAAATGGCAATATTTTACCTTGAATGGTTAAATTGATAAAAGCACTGCAGTCAAGCAAAACACTTTATTGAGATGAAGTGGCCTGGGTGACTGTACTGGTCTCTTAAACCGCCAACATACAGTCACTTGGTGACACTATACTTCAGCCGTAATCAAAAGGTTAAGTAATTAAAAAAAAATATATATATATTTATATAAAAGAAAAAAATGTATATCCACGAAGTCCACTCAGTCACCCACCCCAGCCCTTAACCATAGCAGCAATTAGTACATTTCCTAAAATGGGAAACACCGGCCTACCCACATAACTTACAAGGACCCCAGAGCAGAAGACTTAAATACCAGGTGAAGGGAAGTCCGTGTGCTCCAGTCAAGTTATGGAGTACTAACGCGTTAAATCGCTACAGAGTCTTGAAGACTCAAGTCCCTTTATGTCACACTTTTCAGTTATTCTGTAATCTGTATTCCATGTACCATTTACATAAACTAGGCATAACTTAATTATCCAAACTGTATAATGTACAACTACTGCTACGACCTTGTTATGCGGTCTAATCGCATTATTAAGTGTCACTTTTTCTCTTTGTGTAACCAACTGTTTTGACGGTGTGTTCCCACCGTACACAAGCAATATATTAAAAATTAATAATAACAAAGTATTTAACTAGGAAAAGCACATTCAGATTACTGTGGTTTTCAAGTACGTCCTGGGGATGTTACCATAGCCCAACATCCAGGGGTTGTTACTATTACCCAATTTAATCAAAATAAAGAATGTTAAAATAAATAAATAAATAAATATATATATATATGAACAAACAAACAAAAACAACACATGCCTTATTATTGCTGCACAGAGATATGTGAATATAAACTCATTTATTCATCCTAAATTTGGGTATACCTCGTGCCTAAGATTTTCATTTATTGTTGACTGTTAGTCACTGTTTCAAGATACAAAAAAAAAAAAAAAAAGACTTCCAAATTCGGTATATTTTTTTCTACAAATTTATTTTTTCTCCAAACCCAATTACACCACCAGATAGACTTAAAAGGACACTATAGTCACCAGAACAACTACAGCTTATTGAATTTTTTCTGGGGTGTAGAATCATTAACTTCAGGCTTTTTGCACTGTCTTTTCAGATAACTTCACTGGTCACTCCTCAGATGGCTGTTAGAGATGCTTCCTGGGTCATGGCTGCCTAAAATGCATCCAAACATTCAGTATCTCTTCCCTCTGCATGCAGACCCTGAACTTTCCTCATAGAGATTCATTGATTCAATTCATCTGTATTAAGAGATGCGGATTGACCAGGGCTTTGTTTGAATCACGCTGGCTCTGCTCCGATCTGCCTCTTTGTCAGTCTCAGCCAATCCTATGGGGAAGCATTGTGATTGGATCAGGCCTCCACTTCTGATGATGTCAGCAGACAGCTTGTTTTTCTGAGACAAACAGCATACAGATCTACAGCTTCAGGTTTGAATACAGTAAGATTTTGCTATATTTATGGAGGCATGAGGGGCCCAGGGAGGCTAGATGGTGGTTTTAACACTATAGGGTCAGGAATACATGTTTGTGTTCCTGACCCTATAGTGATCCTTTAACCGTTCCTGCATGACTGACATCATTTTTTAATTCTAGGGATAGCACACCCATAGATGTGAAGCAGAAACAAAGAGCTGTCTTGGCCAAAGACAGACAAACTGTTGCTGACATCCACCAAACTCAGAACTGTGTATGGTGAGGGACAGTTGATATAAGCAATGTGTGAAGATGGGTGAAAAAGTTTAAATAAGGCAAAACAAGTGTTGGAGACAAACTGCAAGACTATCGACACCAGTCACGGATAAAAACCAAACCGGTGGATAAATTGATTCACACAGACTGACGGATAACTGACAGAGAGATTGTGGCGGAACCTGACTGTGGTCAAATTGCTGACTTAAAAAAAAAGCAATCTGTAAGAAAAGACCACGGGAAACAGCTGAATGCAATCCAGCTATGCCATGAATAATGCATAAGTTCACACTTCTTTGGCAACATCGCAGGTTTTTCCAAAAACAAGATGGTCACATCCACCTTACAGCCCTGATTTCGCACTCTCAGACTTCGATTTGTTTAGTCAAATTAAGGAAAGTCTTCGGAATGGCGCTTCAATGATACAGGTGAATTGAAAGACGCTATCAGATAATGAGTGAGGGGGTGCCCCAAAGACGTCTTCCAAATTGGCTTTGAATAAAATGGTTTTAATGATGCCGCAAATGCATAACCACTAGAGGAGACTATTTTGAATAGCACTATGTTGTAGATAAAGAGTTACTCTATATGTGTATATAGTTTTTCATTTATTTTTTGTCTTGTACATAAAGGACTAATGACCTGACAGGCATTGCTTTCAGTACAACCCTCATATGGGTTATTGCAGTAAATAAAAAAAAAACCTTTTTGTGGACTGCTAATAAATTTAATAGAACTATACCCATCCCATGCAATCATTTACCTGATATCTAGAATTCTGATACCAGGCTAATGTCCCATTTGTAGCTGTTTAGTATCCCACCAATTCACATTACCTTTTTTAAGGCCTACATTCCACAAAAGACCATGCACAGTATTTCCAATGGGATATTTTAAGCCTTTTCATGTGCCCATTGTACCATCAAATTTCTGCGAAATATATGTTAGTAGTTTTATGTATACATTGACTTTATGTTGCTCTGATTAATTTTTTATGCAGTAGCATAATTCAGTTTGTGAGCTGTTGCATCTCTCGCGTACAATATCATTTTTTTTATTTTAATTTTATTATTTACGTGTGTGGAGTCATCTATAGTGTCCGAGTGAGGGTAACAATGATGGGTTGTCTGTGAGCAGAGTTACAACAAAGCGTTTACTCTTTATCCCGACAGGGTGATATTAAACATTGTATATGTTTGTGTTATAGCAACTTGCCCCAACAAAAACCAAAGCTTCACATTGAAAAAGCTACAGAGATCCGGGTCATAAAATACCAGGTAACATAAACATGTGTTCTGATGTTAATGAAAAATCTTCTTAACCCCTTAAGGACCAAACTTCTGGAATAAAAGGGAATCATGACATGTCACACATGTCATGTGTCCTTAAGGGGTTAAAGGGAAACTAACCATTATTATTATCGCCATTTATATAGCGCCAACAGATTCAGTAGCGCTTTACTATATTATTAGAGGGGGGATTTAACTATAAATAGGACAATTACAAGAAAACTTACAGGAACGATAGGTTGAAGAGGGCCCTGCTCAAACGAGCTTACAGTCTATAGGAACCATTATGCATTATAAACATAAAATGTGATGGCAGATAAGAACCATTCGGCCTATCTAGTCTGCCCAATTTTCTAAATACTTACATTAGTCCCTGGCCTTATCTTAAGTTTAGAATAGCCTTATGCCTATCCCACGCATGCTTAAACTCATTCACTGTGTTAACCTCTACCACTTCAGCTGGAAGCCTATTCCATGCATCCACTACCCTCTCAGTAAAGTAATACTTCCTGATATTTTTAAACCTTTGCCCCTCTAATTTAAGACTATGTCTTCTTGTTGTGGTAGTTTTTCTTCTTTTAAATATAGTCTCCTCCTTTACTGTGTTGATTCCCTTTATGTATTTAAATGTTTCTATCATATCCCCCCTGTCTCGTCTTTCCTCCAAGCTATACATGTTAAGATCCTTCAACCTTTTACTGGTAAGTTTTATCCTGCAATCCATGAACCAGTTTTGTAACCCTTATCGGAACAGTCTCCAGTACTGCGTACAATACTCCAAGCGAGGTTTCTAATATATGCAAAATATAATAGAATTAAAGAAAGGAACATTTCCCCTGTAATGGCAGAGAGGTAGGTGATAGGCTTATAGTTGCTGCAATTTTTACAAATTGATGCAGCCATAGGAATCACTGGTAGCAGAGACAGGGCATATACTCTTAAAGAGATGCCCTCACTTCTTTCAGATTTATACCATTGAATAGAACACTGAACATCATCTATAATTTGTGTTAGCCTTTTTTTCTACGAGATAATCTGTTTTCTTTTAAACTTATATTGAAAAAAAAAAAAGTAAATTACATAATAATCCGTTTCAAACAAGGCAAAGCAAGGGAAACCATTCAGAAAGATACAAAACATGCTTCTAGATTCTCCTCTTCCCTGCATGCTTTTTGTATGCTGACTGCCTGGTGCCGATATCAATGATTGACAGGGAAGATGGAGGCTCCCAGTTGCAGGATAAAGAAATAAGGATTTTTACTTTTGATTTTTCAAACCTCACAAATACATATTTGTTATGCGTTGTTAAGTAAAAATCCTATTAAAAATCCTGGGAGGTGGTACTTTCCCTTTAATTTAAAAATAAATACATCTATTTTTAATACAAATACCACATTCGAAACATATACAAAAGAAGTAAGACAGGCAAGGCATACCGAAATATCTAGTATGCAAATTATTAGCAGACAAAATCAAAAAAAATCAAAAAGAGGGCACATAACACTAGGAGGTGTCAGAGACTCTCCTTGAGAACTTAGTCCAGCCCCCAAAGTACCATTTACCACTGAGATCTGTAAGTAAAGGATACAGGGACTTTTTCTGAAAATGAAGGTTGGTAACAGATCTTTATTTATAAACTCCCAAATTCTAAAATTAAGAATGCTGGCTACTTTAGAAGTTCTCTATTGGATTGCCATGCATCGCAAAACCCGAGAATGTATTTCTTATTCATCGCACTTACCTTATTCGTTAGATATTCTGTTACCAAAAGCCATATGTATACATACTAGAATAACATTGTATTCTGAGTGATAGCCAGACCTATTCTATGCCGAAAGCAAAACATGACTTCTGTGTTACATTATTTTTCACAGTATGAAGGTAGAACCTAATACGACATTGAAAGGGTGTAATAAAATTAATTTTATTGCATTTTGTGCTGACAGGAGTCTCAAAACAAATGAAATCTGCACATTAAAGCTATATAATGAGTAAGTAAGGTAGATTGCAATCAATCACAGAGTTAAACTACACAGGAATTAACTGCACAAAACATCAGTACAGAAGAGTTAGTTACACAAACAAAAAAAGCAGCAGATATATATAGCAGTGTTTTCATTTGGTTTGTAACCGTAATATCTGTACACAGGTTAAATCTATCTATAGTTTTATGAACAAAAAAGTTTAAAGCATTTCAGAGTTGCTAGCGGTGTAAAGAAATACTACACTCAGTCACTGGGAGGTACATAAAACATAGAGTGCTATTGGGTCATCTGGGTTGGAATTGTTTGTGGTAATTATCATAACATCTGTAAATATATATATATATTTTTTATTTTTATATATATGTATGTATATTGCACAAATAGCACAAAAGTGAGTTCAGTAGGAGACTTGAAGCTATCGGGAGTCCATCTTTTACTGAAAGCCAGCTGGTTGCCAGAAACCATCCTGGCTCTTGTAGTGCAACTTGTAAATTCCAAATCACCGATTTACGTCCCCACCGTCCCAAAAAAATCTAAGCTGCCATATTAACGTCGAGTTCCAAGTCCCTCCCCTGAAAAGAAAAAGTTAATACATGACATGCTTTTTAGCAGCATAGGAGTACTGGAAGATGCTAGAGCAGGTATCCTCGCTATCCCATTAGCATCCTGTCACACAAAGAGCAAAGGGTTTATCCACCAGCTCCAGTCAGTGCTAATGGCTGCATAATGAACAGGTCTCCTCGCTCTACTTCCTTTGAAGATGATAGAACTGTTACCAAAATATTTTACTTTACGCAAAGGTCCCTGATATGTCTGCATAGAAGCAAGAATGTGTGCGTTCTAACTGAGCTACAGCACAAATACAGAGACTTAGCATGTTTCGATGATTATTCTGGCCTCATGGGTAAAGTGCTCCACAAATAATAAACAGCAGTGCCTGCTAACGAGGCCTACTTCGTTTTTAAATCTACGTTTTTGTTTTTTTTTGCAAGGCATACATTTTCACTCCCTTTTCCAAACCCATATGATTGCTATAAATCATTCTCACGTAGTGACCTTAAAAAAGGTGGCTCTGTGGCAAGCATGTTGGCTTTACTCTCTTATAATGCTCTAGCTAAAGAAATGGACAGCAGATTATACGCGTTTTAAAATAAAATTCACATTTCTTCAGTATGGGAGTACTTTCTATCTTTTGAATGTAGGGGTGGCTGAAAAGGTAGCTGTTCGGCTGTAGGCAGGCAATGCATCACAAGAGATGGAATTCCACAACCACGTGGACAGTTGCCTGTTGTCCAACCCTCGTTCTAAAAGAATGGTGTTCTTCAACATTTCATTTACGTTTGTCTTTTTCATTGGATATTGTTTGCTGTCAACTACACTAGGAACAACACCTGGAGCAAGGAGAGAACCAGTTTTTCATTCTTAAGAGGCACTTCAAGGAACAAGTAACAAAAACCAGGGGACACTCTGCTCACATGCAAATTCAAACCAGCCAGTCCACCTTAATCTGCTGGCTGTCCCAAAATGGTGCCACGCACACCTGCTTCATTTTCTCAACATAAACTTCATTTTCAATTACAGTAAGGTGCTGTTACTGGTTAAGTGCATGATTACAAACATAACAGCATGCTTTTTTTTTTTTTTTTTTGCACAGTAGCTCCACCGATTCAAAATTTGCAGTGTCTATCACAAGCATGCGGGACTGGTGAATTACTCATTCCATACAAGGCAAAATGGAGTAGTCAGAAATATAAATAAATATATAAATAAAACAACAGAAAAAGGACTTCATACAACAGCAAATACACAAACTACATCATTGGTTCATATTTGTTTTTTTTCTTTTTTGATATTTTTTTTTAAAATTAACTCCAGTACTGCCGAGGAGAATACTACTCTACATCTGCCGATAAATCATAAATTTAACAACCATATTTGAAATTACTATAATATTAAACCTTTTTTGTTAGCATAGATACATATTCCCAAAACACCCTTTTTCTTTTAGATTGTTAAATCTAGTTTATTTAGTTAATCTAGTTAAATTTAGTTATTGTGTAACATTTTTTCTTTAAATGTTTTGTACTGGGTTTTACCAACAGCAAAACATAGATTTAAAAAAAATCTTTTTGCCATGTCCTGGTATATATATCCTATATTTCACCAGTGTTTTTAGAGTATATCCAATTGTGTGTCCCCTGTTTACTCCAAGGGTTGGATTCTACGACTATAGATAAGTTTATACCTGATAACGAAAAAAAAAAATGTTCACAGGTGTTGATGAGAGAATTGCTTTTCCTCTGCCACAGTTAAATACTTCTCTGGTGCTAGAACCTTGAACTAGCTCATATAACAGTATATGGAGGCTCTTTAGAGATACAACAACAATAACGAAGCATATTCATGACTTTCCCCATAGACGCAGTTAACAGTAGCTATGTATGACATTTGCTAACATGACATTATTTCCAGTGCATAAGGGCTATAAGGAATAAAAACCTACATATTTATCGGAAAATACATGTCAATTATTATGGTTTTTTTTTGGCATTAAGCTTCGAGCTGAAACATAAAAAAAGGCCAAATAAGATTAAAATAAGTTTAAATTATTTAGTTAAAAATATATGTTTTTCATAAGATCCAGGGCTTGCAGTGTCTGTCTAGGGATTCTAGAGAGTGGGAGCTAAGTTAGAATGGTGTTGCTAGATTACACTTTTAATCAGGTTAACATGTATTAAAAATATATTAAAATATATAAATCAAAGGCTGTATTTGATACCTAATCCAATTTTACTCCAAACAGCCTAGAAGTGTGTGTTTTTTGTTGTTGTTTTTTTTGTTCAAATTAACACCACTCATTAAAATGGCGATTTTAAAGTCCTAACTCAAATATAAGGTTGCCGAAACTGCCCAAATGTAACAGATAATCTTGCAACTACATCACGGTGATGTCATCATGTTACGTATTTGCACTCATTTGGCATCAACGGGATAGGATGACATCAGTGGTTGGCAGAAAAATATGTCGCCAATCAAAAATGAACACAGTGCTTAGTCGAAATTGACAAACTCCCGCCCTGTACTGCCCCGTTTCGCTATTCTTCACCCTTCCTAAAATGTATTTCAAAATATATAGTGCTATGGGAAAATGTATCATATGAAAGTATTCCTTTACTGGAAGACGGATTTTTGGAGATATATTGGGACTCCATCAAGCTATTATCTCTAGTGGGATAGGTGAGGTCCAAACGTGCATGCACAACACCAGCTGAATATCATTTTAATAATTCTTGAGTAAACAATATCACAGATTATGTCACACATCTTAACTAAACAGCTATCAAATCCAATCACTGCTAACTCTAGACTTTTCAGACATGTAATGGACAAATCATTTTAATGTGGAGAAGAGCAAGCACAAAACCACTTGAGGTGAGTGAGGTTCAGCATGAGGTGATTGGTACGAAAAGCAGTCTATCCTAGACCATGCATTGAGACAAAGAGAGTGAGAATGAGAGCAGCTCACAGTCTCTGTAGGGTGCATTGTGGTTCCCTGCCACCGATGCTATATTTAAAGAAACAACACAAAACATAAGGCCCCGGGGCCCATTTACAAAGTTGATTAAATCACTGTGTATCATTTCTGTGGCACAGCTCCTGATCAGAGGGCAGTCTATTAAAGGAAGGGTTGTATTAAAGTAAAGGCAGACGATAGTACCTAATTAGTTACTTTTCCCTTTTTTTTTTCCTGCCCTTTTTTTTTTTTTTTTTTATTTTTTTTTGCATCAGATTATTATTGCAACAGGCTCCTCAGCATCAAACATATTCTTAGAGAGATAACCCCCCACGCTGTTTGATTTCCTTTTCACGTTTAAAAGTCCTCCGTATAGTGTGTACTATGTTGTATTTCTTCGTCCCATAGTCTGGATAAAGAGTAAACACTTTGACATAACCACACTCACGTTGCTGTTTCCGTAAGTCCCGTCAAATTGCTCATGCTGACGCCGAGGAGAGGATAGTGGCACTCAAGAAAAGAGTATAAAGAGAGGAACATTTGAAACGTTAAGCATGCTGGTGAATACCCCCCTCTCTCCCTTAACTTGTCTTACTAGTGCCTCAAACGACGAAACTGGTCATTGTCACAAGAATGTAAGAATGCGAAGAGGAACATCAAACAAACAAAAAAAACAACAAAAACTATATCCAGAATTCTGCCAGTACAACCCATGTATTCTCCAAGTCTGTTTCAGGGAGAGAATGGTGCAACAGTGGGTCACAGGATGCACAAAGGGGGCCAGTATTGGTAGCGTCTTAAGCAGTGCGGCTCAGTATAAGAAATATACATAGACTTTATGT